TTTTCCCCCCCCCCCCCCAGAAAGTACCAGCTGGTAACAAAGACAGTCCTGGCGGTCCCTGGAAATTTGTTGGCCTTCTCCCTCTCTTTGACCCTCCTCGTCATGATAGTGCTGAAACAATTAGGAGAGCTCTAGATCTTGGTGTGAGTGTTAAAATGATAACGGGTATGTGTCACTGACTATATGCAACTTGATCTCTTCAGTGATTGCATCTATACCTCCTACATCTTTTTGGCCTTAGAACATATTGAACTAATGAATTTTGAATGACATACTGTATACTTTTTAGGAGATCAATAACCAATAATGTTAGGTCTGAAGGCCTATATATTGATGCAATTTCAAACCTTTTCCCAATTTTTTTCGGTGTTTTGTGCAATATCAATGTCTCTAAATAGATGTCACAAGAATTTGGAATGTTATTTGCCTTGCTGAACTCATCATAAATGCTCCAAAAGTTTGCAAATGGTCACTGGAAAGAAAACTGATCTGCAGGTGGAGGTGGTGGGACAGAAATACTTAACTAATTGTCACTTTCAGGCAGCAAGTTTGGCTAAATTAGCAACTAGTCTAGCTGCATGCTCCAGTTCAGTAGATATCAATTCAAACCTCAAGGAAAGAACTCATATAGCCCTAAAAGCAACCAAATAACATGCACAACTAGAATATAAACTAATACCCCAGCATTTGTGGATGTCAATTGTCAATGGCTTCTAAAACTGTTGTTTGTTCTAAATGAGCAAAGAGAAGAACAATTCCATGAAGATTTATTAGTCCACGTCACTGCAGGGCAGATTATGGTGATGTGTCAGCTGAATACATTGTCACTTAATAATTAAGAAAAATGAATTTAATGGATGATCGTGTTTTACTTATTTGATGTTTTATAGCACCTATGTTTGCGTTTTAACATGTGAGCTGAATACTTCTTCATGCAACCACATCTTAAATGAAAACCTTTTCAGGTGACCAACTAGCAATAGCTAAAGAAACGGGACGACGTCTTGGAATGGGCATAAATATGTACCCTTCTTCATCTTTGCTTGGTGATAGTAAGGATGAGACAATTGCAGCTCTACCAATTGATGAACTCATTGAGAAAGCCGATGGTTTTGCTGGCGTCTTTCCTGGTATGTCTGGCTGTTACAAAATGGAAGCTCGGTCATATAGTAATTTTATTGACATCTGACTTCATTTTTCCTTTGCAGAACATAAGTATGAGATTGTGAGTAGACTGCAAGCTAGAAAGCACACTTGTGGAATGACCGGTGATGGTGTAAATGATGCACCCGCCTTAAAGAAAGCTGACATAGGAATTGCTGTGGCAGATTCTACAGACGCTGCTCGCAGTGCTTCAGATATAGTTCTAACAGAACCTGGACTTAGTGTAATCATAAGTGCTGTCCTTACAAGCCGTGCAATCTTCCAGAGAATGAAAAACTACACGGTAATTTAAACTTCCAATACATTGTACTTTGGCTGAGGTATGAGATTTGTATAAAACTGACAATAACGGCTAAGAAGTTATGTTCTTTCTCCAGATATATGCTGTTTCTATTACTATTCGTATTGTGGTAAGTATTCTGTGAACTAGACTTTGTGACAAATCCTGCTGAAGTTTTTATGCATCAGTCTTGATTTCATTGGCAATCGGGTTGTTTATTACAGCTAGGTTTTATGTTGCTGACTGTATTCTGGAAGTTTGACTTCCCTCCTTTTATGGTTCTTGTCATTGCCATTCTTAATGATGGTTAGTCATACTAGTTCTTGAATCTTCATTTATTGTTTGAAAAATTTTACAAGGGACTTGCTTCTTACTTGACCTGCAACTTATTGTCCAGGTACTATCATGACCATATCCAAAGACAGGGTCAAGCCTTCTCCCCTCCCAGATAGTTGGAAGCTTAGTGAAATTTTTGCAACTGGGATTGTCCTTGGTGGATACATGGCTATAATGACTGTTGTATTCTTCATGGTCGCATATGACACTAGTTTCTTTAAGGTATAATAGCAAGCCAGCTCCAGCAGTGCATAAAATACCATAAACCTACTGATTTCATCCGAGTCAACCAACTGCCTTAAGAAAATCTGAAAAAACGTGTCACAAAGATCAAGAAACAACTTTGTGGTGAGAGCCATGCACGTTTATAAACTAATGTGGTCTTTACTCGGAAAATCCGAAATGTCAAAGAAGAACTTGACTTGTTATTTAGGATTGTTCATGTAAGTGTACCAGTTTTGCAGTATTATGCTTGGTACCTTGTCAATTTCCCAAAATGCACCCAAAGTCAATTTTTTAAAACTCAGTTTTTGAACAGTTCCATGATGCAATTTTTATTGTTTGTACGTTGCTTAACTTGCTTGTTTCTTTTCCATTTTTGGGCAGAATGTTTTCCATGTAAAGGACTTCAACCAACATAACTTCAATATGTCAAACGAGACTGAAGCTAAGCCACTCCGAGAAATGCTGGCATCTGCTGTTTATCTTCAAGTTAGCACAATCAGCCAGGCCTTAATATTTGTGACTCGTTCTAGGGGCTGGTCTTTCATGGAACGGCCTGGTCTTCTGCTAGTAACTGCCTTCATTCTTGCTCAACTGGTAATGAGTTTTCCTGCACCATTCATCCTGGATCAATCAAATTGGATATGATGCTATGTTGATCTGGGTAGGAGATTTATTTTGATGGCTAAATCGAAGATGTTATGCTGGCCCAATTAAATGGGATAATAAATTATCAGTTAATGCGAGTAATCCTAGTTTATCCCATCTTATTCAGTCGATCGCAAATTATATGCCGACCTATCAACTATGAGACGTAATTTTCAATTTATTTTTTATTCTAAGTATTTCCATACAATTCTAGAGTAAAAACTATGTCATTTTTTTTGCCATGAATTTCTTTTGCCCACTTTTAAGTAATACATCGGCTTTGCTATATTCTCTCATCTATTAGAAACAGCAAATAATTGTTGCATACAAATGATATTCTGGTCATAGCTTCCATTTTTTCTAGTCTTTTGCATCTCAAGTGTGAAAGATGTAGATTTCAAGATTTATCTGGACATGTGTAGAATACATGTGATGGGAGTAACAGCATCAAATCTGAAAACACTTGCATCATATTTCTGCATAAGCATTTGTTCTGAATCCATATATTTGTATGTCTGCTATCTCCGGTATGTCTTATGTCAATAATTTCCATGTCAAGTTTTATCTGTCTTTTTTCTCCTATTTTATCGGCTGTTGATTTGGACACCTTGTATATCCGGGGGCGCTCGCGGGGGTTGGGGGGAAGACACTACTAACTCGAATGCAATGAAAGGTTTAATTTCCCTGAATTTGAACCACATCTTCCACTTACAACTGGGAGTAACGGAAATTTTTAATTTTTACTTTCTTATTTTTCAATTATTTGCAGAATAGCTTTCTATAATCTGACACAAATATAATTCCTGTCCCATTCTCCTCTAATTGAATCTTTTTTTTTTTCTGTTATCACTTCACTTCTCATGGCATTCGCATCAAAGTTTTTCGAAGTGAACAGCATGAAATCTTTGAGTAGAAACCAAGTTTTGTCAATTCAAGTGCTTAATTACCTAGTTCTAGCTCACTTTGAAATTTTAGCAGTATCTCTTAGATCAACTATTTTTCATATAACTTACTGGGGAAAAAAAAACTATTTTTGTTATAGCTCTAACCATTACACTTCTATTTTGCAGATTGCAACAGTGATATCTGCCCATGCAACCTGGGGTTTTGCTGGAATCAGAAAGATAGGCTGGGGCTGGACTGGTGTTATCTGGTTGTACAGTATAATCACTTACTTGTTTCTTGATCCTATCAAATTTGCTGTTCGATATGCCCTTAGTGGACGCGCCTGGGGTCTGGTGGTGGAAAAAAGAGTGAGTTTACCTGAATCCTCCCATAAATCTGTGAGAGCTTATTAATCATATAATTGGTTCATTGTTTACCCTTTTTTATAGAACATTAATTTACCTAACTATACCTCATAAACCAATAGCAACACTTTACAATTGTGCAGCATTGTGTCGTGTGTATAATTTTTAAACTATTCACAACTTGGAAAAGTTTCCATTGGTTTTAATAAATTTTAGAAAGACCCCATGTGCCACTTATATTTTTCCTAACTTGCATACCATATAGTCTTCAGATTAGTGTCATGTATGGAATTCTGAATCTTTTAAAGTACTTTATCTTCAAACAATTACGTTTGTTCTTTGTTGTATTTCACCAGACTGCATTCACCACCCAAAAGGACTTCGGAAGGGAAGCTCGTGAGGCTAAATGGGCAGCTGAGCAACGGACACTACATGGACTCCAGTCTGTTGAAACAAAAATGTTTTCAGAGCATAACACTTTTAGGGACATTAACCTCATGGCAGAAGAAGCTAAAAGACGTGCAGAGATCGCAAGGTAGCCTACTGCTTTTTTAAAAATAAAATCTTAAAACTAAAAGGCATTACATATTCCATCTCCTGCTTGCCTACAGAATTCCAGCATGTGAACTTCTGATGAAATCCAATGCTTCTCTCGATATGGTTCCGAAAGAAAATGATTTTTTTTTAAAAGCTTAAAACTAAAAGGCATTACATATAACATAGTCAAAATTTTATTCAAGAGGGTTAATAAACAAGTTATTGCAATGATAAGTTTTTGGTTGAACAAAACACATCAAAATTTACTTACCATCATAAATATAAATTTGGGTCACAAAATTAAAATTAATTCTTAATTACCATCATACAAATTATTTTCTGACAATTTCATTGTCCCTTTATCCTCTCATTTTCGATGTGATGTAGTGACTATTAAGAAATCATCGTCGTAATTTATAATTTCACACAATATGCATGATAGTAAAAATGAGTTGAGTCAATGCATTATTTTTTTATATAAGTAACATTTGTCATCAGATTTTACAGGAATTTTAATTATTTTTTTCTTTGTTCATCAAACATATCTAATTAAATGCCTTCGTTTGTAAAAATATCATTTATTCATATGTTTAGATCTATCATTAGGTTATTCAATATTAAGTCACAAAGCTTTTTGAATACATTAAATACCATACATACAAAATTTTTTAAAAGCACAAGGGAACGTGTAGGTTTTTTTGAAAATCTATAGGAGGATTATAGGATTTTTCAAAAATGTGAGTAGGCTCTTACACAGTTCCGTCCATGCTTCTCTCGGTATGGTTCCGAGAGAAAATGATTTCTAGCTAGTAGCGGTAAGGTTGTTCCATTGTGACTTGGAGGTCACAGGTCATAATTGCGGAAATAGCCTCCGCGGGGTAAAACTACGTACATTTAACCCTCTTCGGACTCCACAATGACGAGAGTCTCGTGTACTGTGTACGCCCTTTTAGTATAGTACTCTTGGTTTTTTTTTTCTCTTCTAATTTATCATGTTCGTTAACCAGAAGAATCCAATGTGTTAAAATACTTATTTTAAGTTTATCATAATGAAATTTTGGCTCCTTGAGACTTCTGATGGGAAGCATGTAAAATAATGCTTATGGACAGGTTCAGTTTAACAAAACTTGGTAAACTAATGTACTTAAAAACCTCTGGCATTGTCTTTTATGCCTTATGATTACCCTTTTGATTTGTGCAGGCTAAGAGAGCTTCACACTCTGAAAGGCAGGGTGGAGTCTTTTGCCAAGCTGAAGGGCTTAGATATCGATGCCATGAACCAGCACTACACTGTCTAAGTGGATTTTTGACTATTTTGATTTACTTTTAGTTTTTTGCTTTTTTTATTTTCTTCCAATTTTAATGTTCTTGTGCAATAATAATAAGAGAGCATACTGCACAAGACCCTGTAGTGGCGGGTATGTAACCTTAGCCCACGTGCAATGAGTCTATGTTTGCTACTCTAACCCGTGAAATCTAGATCACAATGAAATAAGATATGCCAAGAGTCTTCCTCAGGGTTCTTGTCCTATCATTTCCATCATTTTTTTTATAGTGATTAGTTATTCTATAAAAAGATTCGTTATAATTTTGGTTCTTGAAGCATGTTTCAATTCGATTCCTAATGTTTGTTCCTGATGCTACCAATTTGCGTTTTATTGACCCAATTTTTAACATCCATTTAAATTGGTAACAAAACAAATCTATCTTTCTCATGTGCGCAATTTAAAGGGGGAAACTTGCATAGGAAGTGTGGTGGTGGTGGTGGAAGTGTGGTGATGATATGGTAGTAGTGGTGTTTTCTAAATTCTAGAAAGGTAATTTCAAAAAACACACAAAACAGGTATAACTAGTTCTATAAATTTATCCAATTTTTGTTCTCAGTTTTCAAAAAACTAAACAAAACAGGGCCAAAACCACCAAACCCCCGCCCCCCTCCCAACAGAAAGAAAGAAAGAAAGAGGATAAACCAGGACTGATAGTATCAAGTTGGTCTCTTTCAACATATGAATCTTGTCAATGTTGGCCTCTCAGTCCTAGAATTCAAAAAACAAAGTACTCCAAACAGCACATTTTATCCCATATGCAGTGTCTGTTAGAAAACATCCAGCAAAACAAGGAAACCACTTGGAACCCATAACCATTCTTTGAGTCAGTAAGGATTGTAGCATAATTTCTTGTACATAAAACTTTAATAAGAAACTAGATAGAGGCATAGGAACAGGTAACCATTTATACTGCCTCTGTAATAAGTATTTGAAAAACCAATTAAGCAACAATTCTGTGCTATCAAAAACTCAAATGTAAATTTTCATATTCAATGGACATCCCAACAAAAAGCAAGTGTTTTCATACAGACCAAATACAGCAAAATAACACTGTAAAGATTATATCTCTAGCAGGATCCTAATAGTTTTTCTTCATGACAAAAAGACTGATGGAGAGGGTGAGATTACACAGAATGAGGCATGTACAGTTGCTGCTTCTTTTTGCAGTCAAGCAAAAAAAATCAGTTTTCTCTGGTCATCAACATCCTAAATCGAAAACAGTGAGCACTTCCCACTCTAGATATCAGGATGTTGGTCCCAAATTTCCTGTGATTGATGGGTATATTACCTTTGACGGAGTTGCTTTAGGCAATTGCTTGGATGGGATTCAATTGCCTTGTTTCAGGACTTTCTTAAATGAATTCTATCAGCAAACTCAAAGCAAGAAAAGATGATAGAGATTAACAAAAAAAAATACTTTTATTAATCTGAATAGCGATCTCAATTACAAGAAACTGATGAATCCGTCTTAACTATAACATNTGCTTGGATGGGATTCAATTGCCTTGTTTCAGGACTTTCTTAAATGAATTCTATCAGCAAACTCAAAGCAAGAAAAGATGATAGAGATTAACAAAAAAAAAATACTTTTATTAATCTGAATAGCGATCTCAATTACAAGAAACTGATGAATCCGTCTTAACTATAACCTNCACCGGTGATCGTTTGAATTTTAATTTATATTTTGAAGGATAAAAAATTTTAATTTACGCTCTTAAAAATATAAATTTATATCAATGTGTACATAAAACTATCGATTGTCAGTTGCGGTCTAAAACTAGTTGGATAAATTATATCTAGACTTCTTCAAATTTATCACTTAATCATTTAGATTCNCACCGGTGATCGTTTGAATTTTAATTTATATTTTGAAGGATAAAAAATTTTAATTTGCGCTCTTAAAAATATAAATTTATATCAATGTGTACATAAAACTATCGATTGTCAGTTGCGATCTAAAACTAATTGGATAAATTACATCTAGACTTCTTCAAATTTATCACTTAATCATTTAGATCCNATTAACTCATATTCTATACGAAATTAACCAGTCCTCCTAAAATGCCCAAGTCGTGGGTCTTTTGTCAGGTTTAATCGTGTCCTTTCTTTGCAATTGATGTCCTTATTTATAGACATGTTCCATCAACAGTTAACTGATGTCTTCGTCACTCCCTTCTTGTATAACTGATGTCTTCTGAGTTTAAAAGTTATGCCAGTCAGTTTTGATGCCGACGTTGATATATGTCTTTTGAATTCCAGAGTAACTGTCTANTGATGTCTTCTGAGTTTAAAAGTTATGCCAGTCAGTTTTGATGCCGACGTTGATATGTCTTTTGAATTCCAGAGTAACTGTCCANGAGAGGATCTAAATATAATTTATCTATTTAATTTTAGAAGATAAACTGAGCTTAAAACGTGCATTGATACAAACTTATATTTTGAATGCAAATTGAGATTCGAACGATCTTTTAAGGTGTAATTTATAATTAACCAAAATAAATAAATAAATGAGCTNCATTTCCTTCAGAATAACTTCCATCACATAACTGCTCTCTTTTAAATTTGAAAACCCATGTCGATTGGCCTATTCTTTCTCCGTTACTCAAATGCCTGCCACGGGACCTAGTTCCTTCAGCTCCTTGCTCTCTGATTAGATATCAGAATCCCATCACCAGCCTACATGAAAGGATGAATAGATTCAAGAGAGAGATAGATGGAACAAAAAACCAAGCATTTTATAGGAGACATAGGTAGTTAAGCAGCCATGATGTCCCCATGCCACCTAAAATCACACATTTTATTGAAAAACAAAAGATGCTAACTCAAATACCACACTTACGTGTGAACAACCATTCTCACAATGTAACACCAGAAATTTCTTACGGTAAGTTGCAATTAGAACACACCACAACTGAGCATGGAGGTGCACTACAGTGCTATGTTGCCAAAGAAATAAAAGAATGCATTAGCAAGAGACTACTGCCATTCCTAGCAAAATGGCAGGGCAAGCTGACCTACCCCCGTTGTGGGTGCAGTGCGCCACCAAAAAGAGATATTGAGGAATCACATTCAAGGAGATCATTATTGGCAAGATGCAAAAATCTGATGGCTGAGATTCAGATATTTATCATTCACACATTTTGAGAAGGAAACCAATGTGCAGATGCATTGGCAAACCTAGGAGTCTAGCAGGAGGAGACCTTTGTGGAACTTGACTCCCCTCCATACCAGATTGTAAACAGCCTCATGGCAGACTCGACTAGNAAACCTAGGAGTCTAGCAGGAGGAGACCTTTGTGGAACTTGACTCCCCTCCATACACCATTGTAAACAGCCTCATGGCAGACTCGACTAGTATCGCTTTTACTAGGAACTTACTGTAGCTGTTTTTATTTTACTTTCAATTTTACCAAAAAAAAAAAAACTCATAATGAGTCGAGCAAAATTGTGGCTATGTTTCTTGCATCCCAATTTAATGTTTTATCTAATGTGCTCCTTTGATTAAGGTTTAAGATTGTTTCTAGTTGGTATGCCTAAATCCTCAAATTATAGTAAAAATGACATATTCAGTGACCAAGATAAGTGTGCAAGGTTGCAATATACCTGCATACATTTGTGTAAAACTGCAAACCTTTCCTCCTCTATACATCTAAAGCTGCAAAAAATTGGAGAGAACAAAGTGCTAAAGCACTCATAAAAGCTAAGTTTAGTTAATCTGGTTTTCTTATGTCCCACTTTTAACAGTGGCAAAATACTAAACCACTCATAAAAGGAGCTTAGCCAGATCATAAATTTCCTTTGGTGCATTTCCAAGCAAAAGATATTAAGAATCATCACTACATCAAAAATAATTGCTTTGGCACATTTTATCAAGCACCTGGACCACATTCAACCCATTATCACAGAATTTCAGCCCATCATCACAAAACAAAATTAAAGGCAACAAAAATAACAAATTCCACACCCACCCACATATACAGAGAGAGAGAGAGAGAGAGAGAGAACCTCGTTACGGGTCCCCCTGCTTTCCAATTCTTCTCTTTTCCTCACCTCCCTGATACAACTCGAAATCAATTAATGAATCCCAGTGTTAATCACATTGTTTTGAGTAATGGGTCAAGCTCACAAAATTAAAGCTTGACCAATTATTTTGCCAGAAGAAGAACCACAGTCGTTAAACCCTAGTGCTATCACAAAACAAGATTAAAGCTGGACTCATTATCACATTGAAGCTTGACCCAAAACGCTCTTGCTCACCAAAATAGCATTGATTAAAGGGAAACTCAGTTTGTCAAAAGTAATGTGGCATCATAAAAAGGAAAGTTGTTGATGTGGGTGTGAAAAAAACAGATCAGACATATAAAAAAAACCCCAAAAAACCAATTTTAACTGCCAGTAGAAACAGACGTTACACAAAGGTTTGTGCGACTTTTTTGGAGAAAAATATTCATTACACCGGTGATCGTTTGAATTTTAATTTATATTTTGAAGGATAAAAAATTTTAATTTGCGCTCTTAAAAATATAAATTTATATCAATGTGTACATAAAACTATCGATTGTCAGTTGCGATCTAAAACTAATTGGATAAATTACATCTAGACTTCTTCAAATTTATCACTTAATCATTTAGATCCCCTCACATTTAAAATATTATTCTTACATCTCTTAATGTTTATACATGTGTAATACATAACCTATTGTCATTGATATTTTTTAATATAACTGTTAAAAAAATATATAATTTCATCTTAAATAAAAAATTATAATTTCGATTAATTTTGTGGGACAAAAAATCTTAATTTTGTGGGGATGTATGTGTAATATTTCAAATGTGAGGGCTCTGAGTAATTAAGTAACAAGTATGAGAGGATCTAAATATAATTTATCTATTTAATTTTAGAAGATAAACTGAGCTTAAAGCGTGCATTGATACAAATTTATATTTTGAATGTAAATTGAAATTTGAACGATCTTTTAAGGTGTAATTTATAATTAACCAAAATAAATAAATAAATGAGTTCCACTAAAATTAATAACCAACACTATATAAATAAATAAATGTCAACAATTCTTCTATATAAGTAAATAACTATTCACGTGGAATTCATCTCATCCACTTGATTTGGTGTTCTATTATTGGTCGGTGATAACTACTAACCTAATCAAAGAAATAGAGTGGGAGGGGTGAGTTATTTATTATATTACAGTCCTTTTTATCATGCAAGAGTCTCGTGCACTGAATACGTATTTTTTTTATATCAAAATAGGATATTTTTAAACTTATTTATCAAAATATAATAATTTTTTAAAAACGAGATCAATAACTCCATTTTTTTAATAAAAACAGAGTTAATAATCCCACTTTTATTAAAAAAAAAAAATCCCATTATTTGTCAAAAAGAAAAAAGAAGAGAGGAATAGATGAAGACACTGTCATTATTTCTCTTTGTCATTACTGTTCTTTCTATCTCTAAATCTCTACAGTATTTTTTCGGACCTCATCTCTTTAGCACTATTTTTTTTATGTGTTCTCAAAATCTCTTCATGTACGTGCTTTCAAATCAACTGGTGACCAGCCCATTGTAATTGATTCTGTAAAGGGATGTAGAATATGGGACATAGATGGTAATGAGTACATCGACTGTGATGGTTCATGGGGTCCAGAAATCATTGGTCATGCAGATGATGAGGTTTTATTCCTTGTCCATGTTGTAACTATATTTAAGGTTTGAACGTCCATGAGTGTTGTGGGTCTGCGACAGTTCTTGATCCTCTCGTGCGAGCATTTGACAAACAGTAACATGGCTGGAGTGTTACTATTTTCCCGTTGCTCTGTTTTTTCTTTTTTCCACTTAGGTTTCTTGTATTTGGCTGGTAGGCTTTGTTGAGGAGATGGCAGTTTTTTGCATTCAGAGTTTGGTATGGACCCAGCATGAATGGGACATGCACCTGAAGGAATGAAAAGTCCCGGGTGTGGATCCAACAAAGTGTCTTCTGTGGAAAGTGTTTTTAGTAAACACGTTTTTTAGAAAAAAAAAAAAAAAGTGTACAGCACGTGATTGCTAAACACATTTTTCATCTGTTCCCCACTATTTTTTTTATTTATAAAAAAGGGGATTATTTATTCCATTTTTTAAAAATGTCATAATTTAGTAAATAAATTTAAAAATACTATATTTATATATATTTGTTTAAAAAAGATGATATTTTCATAAATAACTCGTAAAGTAAGTCTCTTGATATAGAAAATAGGGTGGGGGAGAGAGAGAGAAAACAAAGATTGAGTTGGGTCGGTGCACTAAATTGTAAATTTTAAAATAGGTTTTGTTCATATTATCCCTATATTACAGGAAATTAAATTCTCAACTTATAAAAATATAATAATGGTTAAAATTAATCTAATTTTTATATATTTTTAACCAAATGATATAAAATTTATTCCAAATATTTTTTTTCACTCAAAAAAATCAGCTTCTCTCATTCTTTGCACGATACCCTTATGTTAGACAACTCACTTGTTAATGTCAAACAATTTCATTAATTCATATATACTTCTTTTTTATTTTAATTTTAAATTACGTAATTAAAAAAATTAAATTACTATTTAAAATATAAATATTATAAGATTCGTTCAATTTTTCTTTTTGTATAGCGTATTGAGATACGTAGGCGTTGCTAGGTCNTATTTAAAATATAAATATTATAAGATTCGTTCAATTTTTCTTTTTGTATAGCGTATTGAGATACGTAGGCGTTGCTAGGTCAAAGTGCGCGTGAGCATCAGTCAACCAATCTATCTTGTTATTGTCAAATGTCAATCGCAATTGGGACACCAAACACCATATCCTGAATGTTAGTTGGCTAGTTGTCCCACGTTTAGCACCTACCCGTATTTAGCTACCTTACTTTCTCTCTCTGTATCCATCTATATCTCAATATCTGTATGTGTATGGTATCTCTTTCTATCTCCACATGTTTCTTCGTTTACATCTGGAACAATCGCCCACATTTTTTACCTTCAACACAGAAAGTCCCAGGATTCAGGATATATCCTAGATTCTTGCACTTTTACTGTGCGGTCTAACTAACATCTTGAGCATTCCTTCTGCAATATCAATGGCTTCCAAGCCACNTCAGGATATATCCTAGATTCTTGCACTTTTACTGTGCGGTCTAACTAACATCTTGAGCATTCCTTCTGCAATATCAATGGCTTCCAAGCCACTGTTAACCATCTTTATCATCACTATTTTAATGGCTTTGATGCCAAAAGCCACATTTTCAATACCTTTTGTTGTCTTTCATGGTAATTTTCTTCTTATTATAAGGTTATTTGTTTGATTATTTAGTCAATAAGTAGTCAGATTTTTGTGGGTTAGTTATGAACACTATGATATATTATCTTTGATTGGTTTATTATTGAGATAATTATTGATTAATGAGTTAGTGGAGGATTAAATGTTAATTTATTTTTGATAATTATTGATTGTTAATTTGTTTTCTTTGTGGTAGAGTTATGCAAATTTATTACTNCCCCCCCCCCCCCAACAACAACCAAAACTCTCTAATCTCACTGATTTTTTGAAATTGCTGCTTTCATATATGTTTTTGACCAAAGAGTGACTTTAATAGTGAAATCTGTTCGTAAATGGTAGTGGGTAGTGGGGGTGATGTTCAATGGTTCTTTGGTCTGCGATGGAAGCTTACGGAAAACAGCTAGCTCCCTTCCTTCTTCTACCCCATCCTCTTCCCAAATGAAAAAAAGGTTCTCTTTTTGAGCAAGTAGGGATTTTAGAATATGTAAGGCTGACTAAGTACTATAAATGGTCAGAAAACATCCTCTTAGTTTATTTATATTGTCTGAAAGAACATTTGCCTTGACATTATCAGAAAAATAAAATGCAAACCATATGAACAAGGATCAAATTGGTATTGCATAGCAAATAATCTGATGTCGTGAAATTGAAGATGAATAACACTTGATAAAATGAACAAAAGATGCTTCCAAGTTGTATATCGAGCACAGCCAACATAGCTTCAAGATTGAGTTAATTCAGTCCTTGTGCTGAGAACAGATAGCATTTGCAGTAGATATGAATTGGTACCAATATCAGTTGTGTAATCGGAACACTGTCACACACCGGTTTGTAGTGAATTGATCAATGATCCCTAAACTTAATTGAGCTATTCTGAACCTTTGTTGAGATATGGTTTTTGTGTATTTCATGGCAGGCATTTCAGATAGTTGCGATAACAAAGGAGTTACAAAATTTACTGAGCTTCTAACCAACTGGTCTGGTTCTCAAGGATATTGCATGTATGCACTTATATTTTGCCCTCGTCCAAAAAGAGTTATCCATGTACTCTTAGCATTTCTAATTGTATGGCACTTTTGAAATGTAAAACTGCATATGTTTCCAGTTTTTCTTTTCTACTTGAATTGTGGAAGTTGTTCCTAGCTGAATTCTCTTTAATCCCAAATGAAGTCATTCGATTTTATTTCTTCCACACAGAGAAATAGGAAATGGAGGATGGGATTCCTGGTTTATGCCCTTTACGGAACAGGTGACTTTGCCTATTAGTGTATCCGCTCACACTATGCATCATAGTAAATATTTTACTTACTTTTTGTGTCTCACTTTGTAGACTGACATTGCTTGTGAGAAGGTGGTAACGCTGTGAGTAATTTATTTTCCATCACTGGCCTGCCATTTGTAGTTTGATTTTTCTCAAATCCTACTCTCTTAAACTTACAGGTGAAGGAAATGAGTGAACTGAGCGAGGGTTTCAATATAGTTGGACTTTCACAGGTGAAAAATAAGCTTATTTCCCATTATCATCATAAGTTGCTACGTACATGCTAGTTGTTGTTCCACCATTTTATTGAGATATTGTGGCAAGTATTTTTCTATAGAACATTAGGGAGGAGCTGCATTATTTTGGTATTTCACAGATCAATATTTCCAAATCAAACTAGCCAAAGACTTAGATTATGATGCAGTTGTCTAAATGGAACCATAAAGAAAGCTAAAGCATCGTTTATGTTTTGCAGTCTTGATAATGTGCTTGACCCGTCATAAACACAATCTTATGAATGCCATCCTTTTCAATTCCTTTAAGTTTCATATAATTTGCTTGGTGGTGCATGGAGGGCTCACATAATATTCTGGAATGTTGTCCTTTATATTACTAGGCATTGTTGTTTCGCTTTAGATTTTAGTTTTCTTTCTTATTTTTCAAATTGCTCTGGTAATTTGCTCATAGTATCAACATTTATCTTATTCGAATCTTCCACAGGGTAACTTGGTTGGCCGAGGGGTTCTTGAGTTTTGTGATGGTGCACCTCCTGTAAGAAATAAATAAAGTCATAGAAACTTTGATGTTGCACGCATTAGTTAATCCTTGTACTCATCATTGAGCTGCTTTCTTATGCATCAATTGAATAATATGATTTTTTGTTCCTCTTTTCATTATGGGGACTTTTCTATATGCCGTTCCTCGTAAGTTATGTTTAGTTCATAGACAAGACAAAACAATTTTTCCAGTTACCTATTGGTATTTCGGGTCAACAGATAGTTCTCTTTCCAGTTTCATTCTCAATATCTGGCCAAAACTTTGTGTGCATAGAAAAAGTTATGACAAGGCATTCATGTTTAGCAGCAATTAAAATACGGTAGTTCCCAAAAAAAAAATATGGCAGTTGCTAGTGCATCTACAATACAGGAGCACCTTCCGTGATGCTCGGTGCTATTTTGGATCTCCTCAGTAAAATAACAATAAATGAGCTGAATAACATGCCAATATTTATCTTCCCAATTTGCTGCTGTTCTTCTAGCTAACCAGAAATTCAGGGCAAACAATCAATAAATAAGCCATTAGAAGAAAATGCCATTTTTTTCAATAAAACGCCAGAGTTTTAGCTCAGGGGAACTTGTATCATTTCAATGGAGTTTTATTCATCTCTTCATGCAAGCTAAAGGATGTCAAACATCAGGAGGATGTATATATCTAGTACCGACCACTTAAGATGGTCAATATCAGCAAAACGAAAATAGCTAAGTGAACACAAATTAAAATAGCTAGCTATAGACTGATTTGAAAAACACAATCATAATGTTATGGTTTGGAGTTTTGGAGTGCACCTGCACAATATGCTTTTCTTAGGTTAACAGCATTTCCTTGGTGGCACTAGGTATTCTTGGACAAGTTCTAGAACAAATAACATCTATGGTAATTGCTCTGAGCATGTTGTCATCTTATTCTTGTAAGGCCTTCCATATCATTGGTGGGAGTAGGTGCAAACGTGGCCATAAAGAGTCAAGAAGCTCAATGGCTCGTTAATAAAACCGGGCAATGTTTAGAGGAAAAATGAACAAGATGCAGCCAAACAAGAGAGAAATTCCATGAAATCTTGCATGAAAAATTCATCTGTGCAAGAGAAAGAATCACAGGACAGCGGTGATCAGCTTTCGTTCTTCTTGACAATTCGGTAATAACTTGATGACAACTTGTGAAATCTAGGATAACAANATTCATCTGTGCAAGAGAAAGAATCACAGGACAGCGGTGATCAGCTTTCATTCTTCTTGACAATTCGGTAATAACTTGATGACAACTTGTGAAATCTAGGATAACAAAAGAAATCTCACCTGCATTTAATGAAAAGAATAAGAATAGCCGAAACTTTGTGAACATATGTTCGGGATTCTTTCTCTACTTAATGCGCTGCTCTTTTCACAGTAATGGNAAAAGAAATCTCACCTGCATTTAATGAAAAGAATAAGAATAGCCGAAACTTTGTGAACATATGTTCGGGATTCTTTCTCTACTTAATGCGCTGCCCTTTTCACAGTAATGGATCAAAGAGCAATTGGCTTCCACTTGTTGGAATATGACTCAAATAGCTTGAAAGGCTTGCTGTTTTCGGAAGTCTGTGGAGGCATATTGTGCCTCATTCATGTTGCTAAACTAGAACGTAGCAATTTATGTACAATCAGTGTGTTAGAGTAACTACAAAGTTTGCTAGCATCCTAGAGAAAATGCCTAGTTCAGCAAACAATTTAACACCCACCTCCATGAGAGAATTGTTGATATAAATCTAGCAACTTTTTTCTTGTTCGTTCTCTAGCAGTTTCAGTTATCTGTCATTGAGCTGATTTTCCAATTCAAATAAAAGCTGATAGTATGAATGTTGTTTCTACTTAATTGAAACAGGTGAAGAATTTTATATCACTGGCAGGTCCCCATGCCGGGATAGCTTCTGTTCCACTTTGTGGAGTAAGTGCTCCTTTTTCATTTCATGTGCTGCACACTCTTTAATAGCTTCTGGTTTTGTGACTTTATTTGCAATTTTCACTTCCACTCTTTCACACCCTTTTATTGTGGTTTTTTATTTGACATTCCCTGTTTTTGCAGTCTGGTTTTCTATGCATTCTTGTGGACTCTATTCTGGATTTAGCAATTTACAGCGATTTTGTCCAGGTTCTCAAGTCTTGTTCTTTTTTTCTTTAAACTGTAAAGGGCTATTGATTTTGGGAAAACATGAAATCATCGACACATACGGGGTCAATCACCCTTAGAGACATGCCATCCAAAGATCAAAATTTTGTTTTGGTGCATAGTTTCAGTGAGTTTGAAAATGGAAACGTTTCGGTAATGTTTCGAAAACATTTCCGAAACAAGATAGAACCAAAGAATAATACGAAATTTTATTTTCGAAATATTGCTCAAAGCATACCGAAACATAGGTCGAAACATGCAAAACACTACAAAACCTACCGAAATACCTCGAAACATAGGAATTTTGATATTCAAACAATGATTCGTTTTGGTTTCTATAAAAACGGAAACGTTTCAGACGTTTTGACCATTTCGAAATGAAATTTTCCTTGATCCCATCCTTTGTTGTGGGAAAACATCCCTTAAAACCTGTAGACTTCAAGTCTTGTTCTTGAAGTCTACAGTTTTAACATTGTCATCAGCTTTCTGAGATGGCAAGTAATATTGTCATGGAAATTGTCCCGGATGAAAGATAAATAAAACAACTCCCATAAAAATCGTCTTTCTAATTTTTTGTCCCTTTTGATAATGTTATTTGTGCTCTTGTTGTCCCTAATTTACAATCCTGTGTTCTCTTTCTCTCTTTACTCTTTTGCAACATAATACCGTTTGTGTTTCCAAATTTTTGATGTATCTGCAGGAAAACTTGGCACCCGCTGGTTATATTAAAATCCCCACTGTGAGTAAAGTGTATTAGTTGAGGTTTGGACTGCCTCATCTATTGTATGTCATGTTCTTAATATTTTGTTCTTACGATTTCTTGCTACTTGATTGTGATGGATTACTAGTCAGCTTCTCTCCTACCTAATCACTAGAATTCAATCTATTAGCTTAAATTCATATTTGCTTCTCTATATACATAATTTCAGGCTGTTGTGGCAAACTTTCATGGCTAACATCAATCAGAGTGTAACACTGTCATCGTGTTTTCCTATTTCCAGGACATTGATGGCTACTTAAAAGGCTGTAAGTTTCTCCCGAAGCTTAACAATGAAATCGTTAGAAACTCCACTTACAAGGAACGCTTCACTAGCTTAGAGAATTTGGTACTCATAATGGTAAGCTGGAATGTTCTATGTTGTTTCCCTGGACCCACCCGGAATGGTTTACTTTTCATTTTTCCTCTTGGAAATGGAGAGACTTAACTTGGTGATGTGTTTTCTTCATTTGCCTGATCAGTTCGAAGATGATTCAGTTTTGGTACCAAGGGAAACCTCTTGGTTTGGGTATTTTCCAGATGGATCGTGGGACACAGTTTTACCTGCGCAAGAGGTAATGATTGTATTTCGTGTTGTGCTGCCTGTATGCACAACAATGTCCGCTAGCAGGCTGCTTATGAGCTTTTAGTCAAAAACTGCATATCCCAGAACAACAATTTTAGCATGAAAGTCCATTCGTACTTCATCATATTTCTTAGTTTGAAAGAATTTTATGTATTGAGTTGAGTTGAAATAGTGTTGTGAATATCTTGAGGCGTTTTTCTTTATCATCTCTAAGCCAGTTAATTACTAACAAGCTACGCATCTTCTTGTACTTCCAGCCAAGTAAGGCAACACAATTGTTGTTGTTGAGTTAAACAAACGGTAGTCAACTAATAGGCAGATGGAGGGTCTATTTTGGACCAATTATAAATGTTATGAATGAGTTTGTCTTAACAGAACTAGTAGTTATGAGTTCGTAGTTAAAGTCAAATTGGAGATAGGAACGTAGCAGATTCAATGGGATTAACTTTATCCCAATTCATATTCCAAAGCAATAAAACAAGACCATCATTTATCGGAATTGGTCTTTATTTATTATTATTAATTTTGTAGAAGATGGTCAACCCGAAACTATTATGTTTGTGATTCTTTTTCCTTGATCTAATGCAAGTGGCTCTGTTTTGGTCTTATATTTGTGTTTTAACCCCTGCAGACGAAACTCTATATTGAAGATTGGATCGGTTTGAAAACCTTGGATGAAGCTGGAAAGGTGAAATTCATAAACGTGTCAGGTAATCATCTTGAAATCTCTCAGAGTGCAATGAGAGAATACATAGTACCCTATTTGGTGGATGACGAATCCATAAAACCGAGGAGAACAGATTCATCTCTGATATGGCTCTCATCTCTCTGGAATTTCTTTGGGGAACTGCTAGGGGTTACTGATAAATGTCCCCTGCTGCATACTATGTCTTGATGTAAGTTCTAACGATTATTTACACACAAAAACTAGTGAATAATTCTTCTATCAACTTTCAGTGAAAAGTGATTTATCTTATTTCACCAACATTTTACTCAAAGAGTTTGGGAGGAAAATTTCCTTTCTTTGCTTGAANTTTCACCAACATTTTACTCAAAGAGTTTGGGAGGAAAATTTCCTTTCTTTGCTTGAATGAGTACATGCATTGTGTGAATGGAATAAAAATTAGGGTTTTAGCAATGATTCATCTGTTGTTCATGTTGAATGTTGAAGGTTTGTTGATTGTCAACATTTCATATTCTGGGGGCAAAAATAGTGTTTATCCCCAATTGTAGCTATCCTCCCCGATAAATTAGTAGCTTAACCTTCACTCACCACCTCAGTTAAGACTCTGTGTCTATAAATTGTAAACTCTTTTACACATGGGGGAGATCTCACACATTTTACCTNGTAGTTTAACCTTCACTCACCACCTCAGTTAAGACTCTGTGTCTATAAATTGTAAACTCTCTTACACATGGGGGAGATCTCACACATTTTACGTTGAACGTACTCTTACTTTTTCTCTCTCTCTCTCCTTTTCCCCTACTACCTTGTACTATCTCATTAATAGAGTTTTTCGACCACTATTGATGCCTTTAGTGGTTAGATTACCCAGACCCAACCACCCAATATTTATCTCTTATTATTAATTGTTTCATTAATTGCTTTACACTACATACTCGACTGATTTGATCGTGTATAATCAACTTTGTGCATCATCAGAAGGAACATACCATTAACCATTTAAACGAAGATAGTGTATGACCAAGCTTTTGTCATGTAGGGACATGAGATTTCTGTGATTATTAGGTTTAGTGAAGGTTGGATATACATGATNTAATTGTTTCATTAATTGCTTTACACTACATACTCGACTGATTTGATCGTGTATAATCAACTTTGTGCATCATCAGAAGGAACATACCATTAACCATTTAAACGAAGATAGTGTATGACCAAGCTTTTGTCATATAGGGACATGAGATTTCTGTCATTATTAGGTTTAGTGAATGTTGGATATACATGGTNAAGGAACATACCATTAACCATTTAAACGAAGATAGTGTATGACCAAGCTTTTGTCATGTAGGGACATGAGATTTCTGTGATTATTAGGTTTAGTGAAGGTTGGATATACATGGTCTTACATGTGTGTGCAATTGTTATATAGTTCAGCGGTTTCTAGGGTGAGGCTTTTATAGTTCAAAAAACAAGGAAATGATCAAAATGAGATTGTATGTAGGAGGTACAAATTAATCGATCAAATTGGTTAACTTGATAAACAAAAGATACACANGTGATTATTAGGTTTAGTGAAGGTTGGATATACATGGTCTTACATGTGTGTGCAATTGTTATATAGTTCAGCGGTTTCTAGGGTGAGGCTTTTATAGTTCAAAAAACAAGGAAATGATCAAAATGAGATTGTATGTAGGAGGTACAAATTAATCGATCAAATTGGTCAACTTGATAAACAAAAAATACAGAGACACTTGACAAATGTGTGATACGTTTTTATTGAATATTTATGTTGAACATTATATCCTTTGACCATACTAAGATAATAACTTTTCCTTTCGATACCATTTTTGTATCATACAAAAAAAAAAGTGACAAACTATGATCTAAAGAGGTTAAAGCTACAACACAAATCCTAACCAATCGGGGTTGATCACAAGTTTTTTGATNTATGATCTAAAGAGGTTAAAGCTACAACACAAATCCTAACCAATCGGGGTTGATCATAAGTTTTTNTTTTTGTATCATACAAAAAAAAAAGTGACAAACTATGATCTAAAGAGGTTAAAGCTACAACACAAATCCTAACCAATCGGGGTTGATCACAAGTTTTTTGATTGATTGTTTTTAAGTCAATTCTATTGGACTATATTTTGGCAAAATATAAATAGTAATTTTCAGTCCGATACAAAAGATTTCGAAATTGCAAAAAATCGAAACAGTATAATAGGCTCCTCAATACTTGCATGAGTTAATAGAAGTCATTCCTAATAACTGCATTTTAAAGACTATACCTATTGAAAGCACTAGTATCCCTCCTACTAAGTATAGACATTTCCCTGAAGATACAGTAAAATTTTATCAAAAGTTGATGATCATCGAAAAGTCCTGAAAACCCAATAAACTCATAACCTACCATCACTTTCAAGAGGCTTAACCTTTGGGAGAGAGGAACGGAGTTTTATTAAGTATTATTGTGCACAATGTTTCACTACCGGTGTGAATAAGATGAGTTTGAAACTGAAAATTTTGGAATTTCTGAAAGGGAAAGTTTTCTAGTTTTTGGAGTGCTTTGCCAAAGGTGTGTCAAAACTCGGGATAGTTCAATGAATGATGAAAATTCAAGTATGCTATAGACATACAAAAGTTTCTTGAATTGCAATGACAAAGTGAGAAAGAAGTAAATAAATACAACGCGGTACATTAGTGACAAATTTGGTATGACTTTTTATGAAGCTAAAATCTCGCTAAATTTGAATCAATTACAACTACTACTGTATTTCTTCAAAAAAAAGATTTTTTTAACTCAAATACAATACTTTTTAACTTACTTGCCAAACAAGTGTCATTTTCATTAAAGCGTAGTTCAAATTTACACAAGTAAATATAGAGCGTGCTTACAAAATTAGCTTGAAAGTTTTATTTTTTTTTGTTTATTGAAAATATTTTTTGTAAATACGCTTTTACATCGAAAAACAGGAATGAAATCACATTTTTGTAAAAAACCATAGAAGTTTGGTAATTGAAAAAATAAATTAAAAAGTACTATGTTGATGCTGGATAAAAATCAAACTAGGGGTAAAAAATTCATTTGAACCTAGCACAAGTTAGGTAAAAAAAAAAAGGGTCTTATTTCCTCCTTCCCTTCCCCATTTCTGTTTCATTTTTCAGGACCATCCTGCCCGCTTGATCCCCCATATGCGCTCGGACTTTACTTTTTCCGATTCGGTAAGTTACATGTCCGGTGCATGAAGAACTGCCTTCGATCCCCCAAATTGACTTTAAAAAAAACACAGAGAAAGGCGAGAAAAAAATAAAAAAGGGCAGTAAAGAGTCGGTCCCGACTGCCCGAGAAAAGTTGCCTGCATTGAACAATAGTCTCAATCCAGCTTCACTGTCTTATCAACTCAATATCTATTAAGCATAATGCAATGGCATTGCTCCAATGATGGTAACAAGATTCAACCAAAACTCCATCAAGGCTCAAAATAGCTTCTAACATACAATTATACAACACAAATGTCACAATGAATAAAGAACCCAAAAACTGGTAAGGTACTGGTCTCTCAAACAATTCCTCACCAAAATTATGTTTACCATGTTTATAATTAAACAAGAGACGGCAAGTTAAAACAACAGAAGAAAAAAAGAAAAATATAAGAGCACAGACAAACCTAAGCAAACCACCTTACAGCAAAGTTTGTACTCAGAAGGATTTACAGGGCAAAATATATTCCTAGGAGAAACGGGCGTCATCTCTTGCCTGAATTGAATGCATCTCGATTGCTACCTAAGGCCTTCTCACGCCTTGGTTTAGTCTGATTTCATGCGAACTGTTGATGCTGCCATGGCTGGCTGCTTTTAGACTGCTGATACTGAGATGGGGACTTATGGAGGATGACATAGGTCTTCAATGATGAGTATAAGTGAGAAGGTATTCCCAGCAAGGCTAGTCTTTAGATTGAAAGTTCTATCTGGTGGTGCTCAAGGTTCCGAAGTACGATTCTTGCAAAGATTTTGGCTTCGATCGGGGCTGTTGCAGCTGCAGATGCGGCACGTAGAATCCGTGGTGCACCCGCATTTTGCAAAAGGCTAACATGGTGGAGTGCATGCCGGCCACCCGGAATGGTAAACTGCAAGTGAAAAATAGCATCCATGGAGAATTTTACTCGGATTAGTGGAGTTTCATCAGATTTTGGAAGAAAAAATTTGTTAAAATTGTATACACAGATTTTTCTCAGAAGAGATTAAGAGAGCATTTCAATGTCATCTACCTGGAGAAGAGCGAATGCAGCACATGCCTTCAGGATAGAAGAAGGATTTCGTAGCATGGCAACAAATCTTCCAATCTCAGCCCCACTGAGGACAATAAAGATGTGAGAAAAAGAAAAGAAAAATCTTAAAGGACAAAGCTTAGTGTGAAATGTGACAATAAATTAGATATGTTTTGACAACACTGTTTAAGCAAATGATAGAGATATCACTAGGCAGCAACAAAGGAGGGATCAGGAATNAAAAGCTTAGTGTGAAATGTGACAATAAATTAGATATGTTTTGACAACGCTGTTTAAGCAAATGATAGAGATATCACTAGGCAGCAACAAAGGAGGGATCAGGAATAAGTACAAAAGCCCAATGGCTGCGAGAGATACATGGAAGATCTGATGCTTGGGTTCGTTGCTAAGTACCATAGCTCAGTGGCAGGACATTTTTGTGAACATAACTACTTACGTCTTGTATTGTTAAGAAACAGTTAAATAGTTATATACTCAATACAAGAGAATCTCTGCTACGAAGTGCCACCAATGAAAACATGCAGGTTTCTTGGTATCAAAATGGGTACTAGAGTTCAGTTGCTAATAAGTTAGTGATCAAGACTAATAGTTGTAGCAATCTTTGGAGAGCTTAGAGGTCATAGCATTTAAGTCTCATGTCTCTACAGAGCCATGTTACATCTTGAGCAGTTCCTTTGGGTGTACGATTGCTCTAAAATAACAGAAGTGCCCATTTTGAACAATTAGTTTCATGTATATCATCAATTTACCATTCTTAAAAAAATAGATACAAAAAACTTGGATATTTTTCTATCTCCATTTCCTTAGATTTGAAGTTCAGATGAGTTTGACACTTGGACACATACCAGTATGCAATACTTATACCTAAGTCCACGTAACATAGCTACACAGACTATTGTTGAATGGTCACTTACATGCACCTTGTAAACAAATAAATATCAATGAAAACCAAACAGTGGCTACACAATATTGTCTCTAAATCTTCTACTATAACAGATGTATCTTATCATATTGATAAGTTTGGCTTCCGCCTTAGCTGGTTGAAATGTTTCCAACTTTACCATTGCAGGGTTTTCCACTGCATCACAACTTCACGTATGAGTAGGATGAGTTATTAATCCATTAAGATCTTCTCATTAATATGTATTGCACTATCCTTTGAAGATAATGGATATTTTCACTCAATAAAATATAGATTTACTTATTTGGTTACATGTGGTCCTAATTCAGGAAGCCCAACCCACTGCGTGGAATTTCAACTTTCTAAAAAGGCAACAGCAGAAGAAGACATACACAAAATCAAGTTACCTAATAGCTTTGCGAACATCAAGGAACCACTATAGCCAACTCTTGAAAGTCAAGAACCTCCATGGTCAAGTAAATAGGAAACAAAAGGGAAAATGTAGTGTCTCTGTGCGTGCAAGAGAGAGAGAGAGAGAAAGGAAAACCTGCATCTCAGATGACCTGCTTCTTGGATCCGAGCTGACTCTGTTACTTGTGTCAATGCTGCAGAGGCTGTTGGTGCAGCAGCGGCAGAGAAGGCATGTGGACTAGAGAATGTAAGGACAAAAGCTTCAATGTGCTTCAAAGCCATTCTCCTTGCTCCATCTAAGCTTACGCTCTTTGAGGTACTTTCTGATGAAGTCCCTACCAGTGCAAATTCATCCATTCTGTACAAATATGCAATATCTTAAATAGAACCTTCTTGATGATCCAACAGAAACTTTCGCAAATAGGAAGTTCATGTAGGCCATATATAATATTTTCTTTATATACCTATAAACTTATTAAATTTTAAGGTACTCAAAACTAATGAAACAAGCCCCAAGGTCACCAGACCCAACACAGATTTAGATGAGAGAATCTTAGTGTTTGACAATTAGCTAGATCAGGCAATTAGCTTCATATTGTATTTGTTTCACCATAGACCAGGCAAGCAATGATGAAGTTAACATTATTTTCCAGATCAAACCTTCTGCAAGTGTGGACCCAGATAAGAAATGATCTATTTAGATTTCTAACATCACAAATACCAAGTGTGGGCTCAATGCTAGGGGTTAAGATGTGAACCCTGGACCCATTTAAACATGCTTTCTAAAACAGGGCTGCCCATTCTTCAATTGAGCCGATAAAAGGTGAACTTATTTTGAAAAAAAGTGTTGCTTATAGGGTAATTGTACGTTCAAAGACTGCACATAAGCTCTTACTTATCATGACATATGAATGAATGGATCTAATCTTCCATCAAACCATCTAATCAGCCTTTAGCAAGCTCATACATGAGATTCGAACTTTAGCAAGTCATTTATTGATACCTTGTACTATCACTATTTTGGTTTGGGGGGAATGGTGGAAAAAAATAACCATAGGATGGAAATTTATTAAATTCTTCCCACTTTCCGTTCCAACTTCCAACCAAACAATGAAAGACGGAAAAAAATAATGGAACTTATAAAAATTTTCCACTTTATTGTTGTGTCTTAATTTATTTATTCTGTAATTTGAGAAGCCTTTGCAGGAAGTTAATTTAGTTTTCTTGAAAGTTGCAAACAATGAGGTTTTATCCACTTTTTCCTTTAGTAGAGTTGTTTCCTAACAAAAAAGAGATAAAGAAACTAGAAGCGCATGTAGTAATATTGTTCACCAAACATGGGAAACAGTAAGAACATTTGAAAAGTGAAAATCATCATCAATTCAAAGGAACTCAGCATAAAAATACTTAAAGAGCACTATGAAAACAGATGATATATCTTTATAAAAAAAATACAGATTATAATGTACCTTACCTTCCATCAAACATGTATGCCAATGCCAATGCAGCCATGAAGCGTGCCATTTTTGATACAGATGAAGAACAAAGATGAACTAGGGCAGGAACCCCCCCTTCTTCAACTATACGGAGAGCATTACCAGGGTTGAAAGCAAGATTCCACAGAGCTCCAGCAGCAGTCTCATGGACATCCTGAAAAAGAATAAACAAATTAAGCTCCAATCTAGGTTCTACAAGCAAAGAAATAACATTTTATTAGGTGATATAAGCGGAAATTGTTTGTAAAGTATCGACTGACCTATAATTACACAGATTCAAATATCAGAAACAACATATATGAACAAAGAAAGAATTTACCCCCAAGTCATGAGCAAAATTTAATGAAACCAATTTTACAAATCTTAAATTATGTATGGAGTCCAGTAGTCAGTTTATCAGAATTGCACATTCTTTCTGGAACCTCAATAACAACAAAGCAATACAGGAGCATTCTGCACCATGCATTTTTTCAAGACATAAGCAAACACGTAAAACTAAGANGGAAACCAATTTTACAAATCTTAAATTATGTATGGAGTCCAGTAGTCAGTTTATCAGAATTGCACATTTTTTCTGGAACCTCAATAACAACAAAGCAATACAGGAGCATTCTGCACCATGCATTTTTTCAAGACATAAGCAAACACGTAAAACTAAGAAAAGAAAAAGCATTCCCAGAGATCTGAGGAATAGAGTGTGCAGAGGTTCAGCAACCAAGTTCATCACAACAATTATCTTTCTAATGTAATATCCACTTGCACCCATTCTACAGACTGGAAAATATCAGAAAACTCCCTATAAAAGTTATGTCAGCAATAAAAGGCCTATATATATATCCTCACCATCAGCTCCTGATTGAGAGCCTATCCAAAGGGAGCACCCCCAAAAAATTTAGAAGAGGACGCCTGTTAATCATTCCCATACAAATAATAGCAATCAACAAATTTGTTCACTCATTGCTAAAATTAACAGAATCAGAGTTCCCCAGTAATAAACATAATCAAATTTACCTTCATTAAAACCAAATGTGACAGATATNCGCCTGTTAATCATTCCCATACAAATAATAGCAATCAACAAATTTGTTCACTCATTGCTAAAATTAACAGAATCAGAGGTCCCCAGTAATAAACATAATCAAATTTACCTTCATTAAAACCAAATGTGACAGATATTCAGGTAGGTTTTCATCCAGTGACATAGAATGTTCTACGAGTCTTAAAATTTTATAGACAAAGACAAATGATAACTTGAAGAACTACTACAATATGATGGAAAAACCTCCTCTTTTTAAAGGGACCCCGGAACCAAGTATCAAAATTTTATTTTGGTCACCTAGGAGACAAAAACGTTTCAAAAATATTTCGGAAATTGATGGAAACAAAGAAAAAAATTAAAATTCATTTGTGAAACATTCCGAAACACGTCAAAACGTACCAAACCACCTCAAAACCATTTCGATATTTAATCACTGATTCATTTCAGACGTTTGACTGTTTAGAAACAAAATTTAGTTCCTTGTCTAGAAGAGTTTATGCTCTTCTGATAAATTTTCTTGGCTATTAGGGGGTAAACACACAATAAAAACTCTCGATAAGAAGTGATGCTAGCAAGGCATCATCATTTCTACCAAAGGAACAACCTGCAAAATCACCAAACTATGACTATCAAGTACAGTCAAGTGAGAGTATAAAGTCCTACACATTAGAACCCAACTAATCTGATTGGCATCAGATCATACCGGACCAACCCACTAAAAAGCAAATAGAGATAAAACTAATCATAAACCTTCCAGAAATACAGTTTAAAAACGATTCCTTTTTTCCCTCATCTCCTACCATCTTCCACCACCTCATTCCCCACTAAAGTTGATCTAAAATTTGTTCCCTGAAATAAATGCACTCTACCATACTAACCATGGCACATAAAAACGGCTTGAGTATTCCATACAAAGCTTTTGCAAAAACTTTATACAAGCTAGCCACAAAACTAATATAATCCGTAATCTTAACTGAGCTATCTTTATTAGGAACAAATGTAATAAAATTAACACTTCTCCCAACCACCCCATTAGCAAAAGAAGAAAATCATTGAAAGCATGCAATGTATTATCTTTTATAGCTAACAACTATTTGAAGGCCACAGTAAAACCATCTGAACCTGGAGCTTTTTCCTTATCCATATCAAAAACAACTCTTCTAATCTTCTCCTCAAATGGCCTCTCAAATCAACTCGTTCACTCATACATTATATGACACGAATCACTATTCGTCAAATAGACCTAAAAGGAACAATAACAATATACAAACCTTTATAGAATTCTGTGATTTTCTTGGCTATCAACAAATAATATATCACAAAATCACCCGACTCAGTTTGCAATTTTCTATGGATGCTCTTTCTCCTCCTACCATTTACCATTCTATTCAAAAATTGGGTATTACAATTACTTGCCTTGATTGTATGAGTAGTTGATAAATTACATGCTTGATGTAATATTGATATTCATACTTGGTAAACACAAAGAAGTAAGGTGAAGCTAGACACAAGGCTTAATTTCTTAAACCAGTGATTGTGACATTAACTGAACGTCTCGTGCAAATATGTTATATTTGCCTCGGTGTCTAGTCTTGAAAATGACATGTGAAGGTTTAATTTCTGACCAAAATTTAACACTTCGGTTTCATCTTTCTCTATTCATGCACGCCTTTTTCTCAACAAAGTGATAAAGATCCATCAAAGGACAATTAGAGGATTAGAATACTTTTCGACAAGATGGCAGAATATTTAGAAGTCACGAGTTAAAACTAAGCTTCATGAGTTGTAAGCCACATGCTGCTTTCTATAAATTATGGATGTAAGGCATAGAGACTACCAAACTGCCAAATCCAAATATGCTAATTTGATTTATGACCTGTTTTGGTACAAGCAATGGCTTTAATGTCCACCAGCATTTCATGTCAAATTTGACAAGAAAATAATTATAGCTACTTATTAAATCCAAACAACAAATGCTAAGTTACAATAGAAGAACACCGGCCAGACAAACACAGAGATTACATGCAATAATGAAACTTATGCATAAGAAGATCTAGACTGGACTTGCTTTGTATACGAGAGGCGAGTTCAATAAACAGTATGATTTTTTTACCTTTCCTCTTTAGTATTTTGCCTTTCATTTGGGGGATAAACCAACAAAGACTTCCAACACTATTTCCCTGAAAAAAAAATGTTTGAGAGAAAATTTACTTACTTCGGCCTCAGATCGTGCCAGCGCAATAAGAGGGGCAACACCACCTTCTCGTCCAATAGCAATGCTAGTAGAGACACATCAAATGTATTCCATAAGATTTTGTAACACAATCAAAAAACCAAAAGAAAAAAACAAAAATTCTCCACAGCCAACAAAAATATGGGCCCATACTGCATAAAAGAGAACCACGGTTTAGTCAAATTGGATAATAGCACGACATAAAGGGAATGCAACAAGAAATCAGACCTATCATCAGCCATTCAGAGTTGAGGAAAAAGTTCATTCGAATTAATGAGCAGGAATGTGTTTATGAGTGAGTAGTATGTAACATTTTGGCTTGTAGTTTGAAGATAATGTGAGGAATTGGAAGGACCATGGGATAGACTTTATTTTTTGACTTCTTTCTGGGCCTCAACGGCTAAGGAGTTTGAAAATATTCCTATATTTTGTATTATGAGAAGGTAGAAAGCATCATGTGGCTTGTAATTTGATTACTCTTTTTTATATTTTCATGGCGTGTCATTTTGTTGGACTCCTTGTCCACATTTGGTTTGGCTCTTGTACTGAATTTTGTTTGATTGTCAATAAATTGTCGTTTCTTATCGGGAAAAAAAATCATTTTGGAGTGGAATAGACACAAAAATTGCATCCTCGGTCCCGACACAATAAGAATGCCAGTCAATTTGTATATAAATCATTAAATAGGATTTACTACCACCACGATGAAAACATGACTGTCAAATAACACATCTTCATGTTTCTATTTAAAAAAAACTAATCATGTGTAGGGCTATTAAACGAACTGATTAATTGTTCAAACTCGTTGTTTATCCGAGCCAAACCTGAGCCCAAGTTCCGTGCAAGCAGAAAGTTATAATAAACTATTGCACATACCTGTTGGCTTCAGACACTGATAAACCCCATAGAGCACCCGCAGCCCTCTCTTGAAGACCAGGAGATGCATTTGAACAGGAATGTGCAAGAGCAACCTAAACAACACAATGTTGAAGCCTCAACTCAAATTAAAATTATTGACCGAAACAAAATATACAAACTGTGATTTGATAGCTCTCATTGTTCAACTCCACTGACATTGCATCTAAAAACAGCCACNTCAAGTAGCTCGAGCTCAACTCGTTTTTAACTTTCATTTTATAAAACGAACTGATTAATTGTTCAAACTCGTTGTTTATCCGAGCCAAACCTGAGCCCAAGTTCCGTGCAAGCGAAAAGTTATAATAAACTATTGCACATACCTGTTGGCTTCAGACACTGATAAACCCCATNCTGATTAATTGTTCAAACTCGTTGTTTATCCGAGCCAAACCTGAGCCCAAGTTCCGTGCAAGCAGAAAGTTATAATAAACTATTGCACATACCTGTTGGCTTCAGACACTGATAAACCCCATAGAGCACCCGCAGCCCTCTCTTGAAGACCAGGAGATGCATTTGAACAGGAATGTGCAAGAGCAACCTAAACAACACAATGTTGAAGCCTCAACTCAAATTAAAATTATTGACCGAAACAAAATATACAAACTGTGATTTGATAGCTCTCATTGTTCAACTCCACTGACATTGCATCTAAAAACAGCCACAACAGAAAACATTACTATTGTGATACAAGGGTTGCTCAGTGAAGCAAAATCATGGATGAAATAATTCCAGAGAAAATGTTTATCAGCAATTTGACTTCTGATGGAAATGTCAATGCTTCTCACATTAGTGGAGAGCAAGACTTGGTGAGCCAATAGAAAAGGGTTATCACCCAAATGGACCTACCCTGTTTATCAGTCCTATTTTCCTCAGGAAGTGTAGAAGGCAAACAACAGTGTTCAACTTATCAACACAAAAAAAATAACTGACCATCTTCCTTATGCTCAAAATTTTGCAAAAGTCATAAAAAAGAGAAGGCATGAAAAATGAGAGAAAAACAAAACCGATCTAAGACTTGAATAACAAATTCAATTCCGCCACACATTTTTTACCAGGATTGTCAGAATCCCAGGCTCAGTAAAGCCAAGAAAGTAAATGACTGACCATCTTTAAAACAGAATTAGAAGAAACCAAATAAATTTGATACACAATACTCATTAATATGAACAAATAAAGCCTGGTATTTATGACCAACAGGGGATTACAAAAGGGAACGTGTAGTTCGTGCATTTTTTTTCCATTTATGTTGTATCTTGCACGGACAATAACATCTATATCTGAAAAATATATGATGCTTGTCATTTGGACAAGTATTCTATACCGGCAGAAAGACAAAACTATAATTTTAGTATTTGTTAATTCTCTATTTCAGAGGATGACAGGCTTCTTGAGTTTTTGCACCAAACAACCAATATGCTACTGAAGGCACTACTTGAAAGTTGAAACACAAGCTATAACTGGTTTGGCTTTATATGATTGCTTCAACTCCACCTAAAAATACAACAACGTCCATTTGTATCAACAAATCCCCAACAAGTACTTATAATTATAGGAAGTTGTATCACATGCCACCTAAAATACAGTAACTAGAAGGTTTGGAATCAAGGAGGAAATTATCAAACCAAGGCTTCAACACCACCAGCTGCTGCAATTGCTTCTCGATTTCTATCATCAAATGATAAATTCCACAATGCACCAGCAGCTTCTTGCCTGTTTTAAGGAATAGAAAAAATCATAATGCCTATCAAGAAAAAAAATTAACTGATCTACGGAAAGGCTATCTCATTCTGAAGCAAACCAAACACCAAAATATATAATCTTCCATTGAAAGTAATGGTTGGTAAATTTAACTTTCAAACCATAGAGACAATCCCAAAATAGGCCCATTCTTTTTTCTCAAACTAGAATTAGAGGGCTTTGAAAATTTAACTGTATTTTATGTGATAAAGAAACTCAAGTTACATTGCAACATGTAGGGGTGTGCAAGAATCTGAAATTCTGACTCCGACGGAAAGAGTTGGAGGGAAAATTCAAACATGGATTGGAGTCAGAGTTTGAAATCATTTCCAAAAAAACTCCAACTCCGACTCCGACTTTTATTGAATAATAATTTTATGCAAAATATAAATTATATAATATATTATTACATTTTGAAATAAATCCATGTTTACAGGCTGTATAAATATATGGGAGTTAAAGGATGGATTTGAAAAAGATAAAGGAGCCAGGGCCAGAGTGCAAATCCCTAAATCTAAAACCCTAGTTCTATCTTTCTCATTTGCATCTACGCCTCCAGCCCCCCATTTCTATCTCTCTCTTGATCTTTCTTCCTCCATGACAATATCTCCTCCTTAGAAAGCCTCTATTGTCGCCTGCAATGGCGGATATCTCGGAAGCTTCCAGTTGGGTGAAGAACCGACTCTATAAGTCGACAATCAACACGGTAAAAGGAGGCTCTCTCTTTCAGTCGACTCAAGGTTCAATGCCTCCACTAGAACCCCTAACATTTCATCAAAGTCCCAGCAGAACTGAAAGCCTCAGCCAACAGCCTGCCTCAGATTTGAAAAGCCCAGCAGCCTCCACCAGATGTGTACGTTATACGCCTTCAGCTGTTCAACCATCCGTGACACGCTTTCAGATCCTCCTCACGCCTCTCTCTCTCTCTGGTCTGCCTTAGATCTACAACATGGGCATCTACAGCAAATTGACCCAACTCCAAAACTCCGTCCCGACACCGATAAGCAGAGTCAACGTAGTTTGGAGTAGGAGGGCAAAATTCACTTTGACTAAAGTCGAAGTTCAAAATTGTGCTTTTCGACTCCGTCAGAGTCGGAGCCCACCCCTAGCAACATGTGAAAGCTTCTTGTAATCCATAAGCTTAGGTGATATACGCAATCTACATACCTAGTTGCCTTAGAATGGTTTAACTTAGATGAATAAAATGGACTTATGTGTTAAGTAAAACATTTTTTCATAAATATGAGAATCATGCTACGGATTTTTATTGAAACTTTGAGGGTTGGTTTTGAAACAATATAAGAGTCATGGTATGTAGGTTTTTTAAGTATCACCCCTTGGTATTTAAAAGGTTAAAGAGAGCATTGGTTTTAGTTCAAGAAACCAGTGAACACCGCTCTCCAAGTGCTCAAGTAGTTGAGCAAAATAGACTAGGCTTTAAATTTCAAATGCGGGCAGTTATTCTTTTCCCCGGGCAACACTCTCTCTAAGTGTTCGTGTGGTCCTTCAGGAAACTGAATAACTTGTTCCCCACTTAATTTCTATTTTCCCCACTTATAAAGATGGGACGTCTTTATTCAACCAAAGAGAGACTCTAGGACGTAAGAGAGGTTAAAAAGAGATTCAAAAGGTTTACCCCAGCATCTACTTGATCAATCTAAAACTTTTTAANCGGATTGGAGTCAGAGTTTGAAATCATTTCCAAAAAAACTCCAACTCCAGCCCCCCATTTCTCTCTCTCTCTTGATCTTTCTTCCTCCATGACAATATCTCCTCCTTAGAAAGCCTCTATTGTCGCCTGCAATGGCGGATATCTCGGAAGCTTCCAGTTGGGTGAAGAACCGACTCTATAAGTCGACAATCAACACGGTAAAAGGAGGCTCTCTCTTTCAGTCGACTCAAGGTTCAATGCCTCCACTAGAACCCCTAACATTTCATCAAAGTCCCAGCAGAACTGAAAGCCTCAGCCAACAGCCTGCCTCAGATTTGAAAAGCCCAGCAGCCTCCACCAGATGTGTACGTTATACGCCTTCAGCTGTTCAACCATCCGTGACACGCTTTCAGATCCTCCTCACGCCTCTCTCTCTCTCTGGTCTGCCTTAGATCTACAACATGGGCATCTACAGCAAATTGACCCAACTCCAAAACTCCGTCCCGACACCGATAAGCAGAGTCAACGTAGTTTGGAGTAGGAGGGCAAAATTCACTTTGACTAAAGTCGAAGTTCAAAATTGTGCTTTTCGACTCCGTCAGAGTCGGAGCCCACCCCTAGCAACATGTGAAAGCTTCTTGTAATCCATAAGCTTAGGTGATATACGCAATCTACATACCTAGTTGCCTTAGAATGGTTTAACTTAGATGAATAAAATGGACTTATGTGTTAAGTAAAACATTTTTTCATAAATATGAGAATCATGCTACGGATTTTTATTGAAACTTTGAGGGTTGGTTTTGAAACAATATAAGAGTCATGGTATGTAGGTTTTTTAAGTATCACCCCTTGGTATTTAAAAGGTTAAAGAGAGCATTGGTTTTAGTTCAAGAAACCAGTGAACACCGCTCTCCAAGTGCTCAAGTAGTTGAGCAAAATAGACTAGGCTTTAAATTTCAAATGCGGGCAGTTATTCTTTTCCCCGGGCAACACTCTCTCTAAGTGTTCGTGTGGTCCTTCAGGAAACTGAATAACTTGTTCCCCACTTAATTTCTATTTTCCCCACTTATAAAGATGGGACGTCTTTATTCAACCAAAGAGAGACTCTAGGACATAAGAGAGGTTAAAAAGAGATTCAAAAGGTTTACCCCAGCATCTACTTGATCAATCTAAAACTTTTTAATGAAATCAATCTAGACTTTGAGAGATCTTGTAGAACACCTAAAACCTGCAAAGCAAAGGATCTAAGGAGGATTCCAAGGATCAAAAGAGGATTCCAAAAGATGAGGGATAGTTCCAAAGGCGGATTGTAGAGCGCCACCTATTGAAGTTAGTCGTTAAGAACTTGCAGTGGACTCCGAAAGGTATTAGTCTTTATACTTGTAATCTAACTTTGAGGCTAGTGGATTAGGTCAAATGGAATACGGTCCCGTGTATTATCTTGAGAGGGTTTCCATGTAAGATTGTTTGTGTTGTGGTAGTGATCGTCTCTTCCCTATCTCTTGTTACATACATGGAATTTTGCCTTTCTCATATACATAGTTAACTAAATTCTTGTGAATCGTACTGAGGGTGTTGGCTGATTTAATTGGATAAAGATAAATTCAATTGAATTGAAGTGTGTTGGGAAATTTGGGATTTTGTTTGAGTTCCCAAAATAGTAATTTGGGTTAGGTAAATTTGGGGGNGTAGTTAACTAAATTCTTGTGAATCGTACTGAGGGTGTTGGCTGATTTAATTGGATAAAATAAATTCAATTGAATTGAAGTGTGTTGGGAAATTTGGGATTTTGTTTGAGTTCCCAAAATAGTAATTTGGGTTAGGTAAATTTGGGGGTTTTGTGTTAGTTGGTTAGTTAATCGATAATCGATTGAACTAAGTTTTCCTCATTTGAGTACTAAGACCTATTCACCCTCAGGCAAATATGTCTAAGTTCAGCGTGTTGGGGATGATCCTTAACTGCACTCTCAACTTGATTGAAAGAACTCATAAAANATTTTGTGTTAGTTGGTTAGTTAATCGATAATCAATTGAACTAAGTTTTCCTCATTTGAGTACTAAGACCTATTCACCCTCAGGCAAATATGTCTAAGTTCGCGTGTTGGGGATGATCCTTAACTGCACTCTCAACTTGATTGAAAGAACTCATAAAATAATTCCTTGTAAGGTGTATCAATGTAAGTACCGCAAGAACCATGGATATAGAAGAATAATGTATGTAAAGAAATATTAGTTTTTGCTAAGATTCATAGTATTCTTTTCACAGAGTTCAAATCAAAGTGACTAAAGTGCATGACGAACCTTAAGGAAGTAAACCATAAAATAACTAATGCGATGAAAAAGAATAATCCAATCGAGGTACAAAAAATCTTACCTAGATAATACATTATTTGCGGAAGCGTTAGACAACTAAGATAGATGTAATCATGCATGCTTACTAAGATCTATTGTTCTTTTCACATCTTGGCAATTTGATACCTAGAACTTTTCTTCCCCTTTTCCCTTGTGTTAGTCTTGTTTATTGCACAGGGAAATCGCTTCTACATATATGATCAAAGATAGATAACAGGATCAAATGAAGAAGAAAATGGTTATATAAGCTGGTGCAGTCCATCAGCTATCTCTTTCAGATTAAAAGAAAATGAGATCTACCATCCTGAAAACTGCAATAGCATTCACCTTATTTTTTTCAATAATACATTCAGCATATGATTACTAAGTTCATTGTTTTCCAACCATTAACCCCCCCCCAAAAAAAAAAAAAAACCAAAAAAAAAATTCAGAAAAAAGAAAGGAATCACGGATGACTAAAATTCAAAAAACCAAGTAGCAATTGAAGTGATTAAATTCCATCAAAAATAGACTACCTGACACCATCATGGGCAGAACGTGTGAGTTGCACAAGTGCTTCAAGAGCTCCTGCCTCTTGTCCAACAGCAGCGTTGTTATTGTTGCTATCTCCATGGGCAGCCAAATTAGCTAAAGCACGAGCAGCCTAGAGAATATAGGAAGATATACATAAATAGGTACTAAACTTGTGCCATGCGTGGATCTTTTTGCACACGGACCATAAATTATGTATTTGTGTACATGGAATGCATGAAGGCCAATGCAGCCATGAATTTGCACTTATCAATCTAGAGAATTTGCACTTATCAACATAAGCAAACATAAGAATAACATTACCATGACAAGAAAAGATTAAGTTTGGCATGTTATTTTCACACCCCTTCAAGTCAAGTGAGCATAATGTGAAGGTCACATATCAAAATAAAGCACAATCGTGGTAACATATCATCATAAAAATGAGCTTTTAAACAGAAATGAATAAAATCAAAAGCATTCATTAAGTGGAATCCTTGCAGAATTCAACCGGCTCTTGCACAGTATACATGAGGCAACTTAATATAAAACCAATTGCATCTAGACCAAAACCCAGAGACGGTTAAGCAAAACAGGTTCTCATCAATTGTTGAAACAAAACAGATTGCCAGCTAGAGAAATCATATGTAACAGATATCAACACTAAGAGAGAAACGCAATTACAGGGTAGAGTTAGCTGTCCTCAACAAACCTTCCTATGACCCTACATACTATTCATATTTTAGGGTTGAAACCAACTTCATCTGGATTCATAGTCCTTAATAGTAAAACATATTCATTTGAAGCATGCTGCTTGCGGGTATGCATATTAAAGACTGCCTTCTTTGATATTAGACAAAACTGTCACCTGCTCTTGCACTCCCTCTGACTTGCAGTTTCGAGCAAGCATTACCAAAGCATGTACACCACCTACCACTGCAACCTCCATGCTACACTTGTCATCAGCGGCCAAGTTCGCTAGAGCACCAGCCGCACGTTCCTGAAAAAAAAAGCACACAAAAACCAACCAATTTTTATAATGATATAGCAACAAGTCAGTTTGCATCTTATGCATGAATTAAAAGGCGTTCTAGGGAAGAGTGTGCATTGATGAATGCATTGTCTATGCATGGTGCAAAAGACACGTACTAGAACTCCATCACCACCAGTAGACCATTTGAAAATCAAATCAACTAAAGCTTTTACACCACCAGCTTCAGCAATGGCGCCCTGGAATCAAAAAATTTTGTTACTATAATCGGAAGTTAAGAGTATATGATGGTGAAAATTTGAGAAACCAATCAACCTTGTGCTCTTCTCCAACAGAGAGATTCCACAGTCCTCCTGCAGCCTCTTCTGCAACCATCCTGTTCATAGATCTTGCCAAATTTGCAAGAATATTGATTCCTCCTTCTTCTGCCACTGCTTTTGCCACATTGGCATTCACAGATAAGTTTGCTATAGCCTACATTCCAAAAGTTTGAAAAGCAACCAAATTTCAGTAATTAGAGTGAAGTTTAAGATTAAATATACGTCAACTGTCAACCTTGTAATCTTAGCAACATATGGAAGCATGCGACAAACGATATCAAGTGAGCCCCATCAGAATATAATTAAACCAATGTAAGTCACTAGAGTTGGATTGAAAAAGTGCAAAATAATAAAGTTGCAGAATTTATCATGATCATTTGTTACTGTAGTCCCCATAATCTTTACCTTTGCAGATTCTGACTGTAGCCCATCCCGCCAAGACCTTGCAAGGTTTAAAAGAAGTCGTATGCCACCATCCCGCATAACTGCTTCAGCCCTTCCACCATCAACACTAGCATTTTCATCATCAATTACAACAAAAGTTGCAAGGCCTGTAGCTGCCCTTTCTTGAACATCCTCTTGTATACTCTGCATCAAACTAAGCAATAGGGCTGCGCCTTGGCTGATCCAGAAATTATCCATGCCCTGGGGATTGCATTCAGCAATACGTAGAAGTGCATGTGAAAGTATCCATTCCAGCCAAGTCATAATCTCATCCAAATTCCTATTTTGGTTCATTGAATTCCTCCAATGGGCAAATATATTCTTCTCGTTATTTGTGGTATCGGCAAATAGAGAACCAACTCCCTTAAAAATGTCTGTAAAAAGAGCAAGTAGCAGTTTACCCTTGTTATTGAAAGCAAAGCTGGTGTCTTCCTCAAGGGCTGGGCAATTCAAGGCGCACAAGACCTTCAAGCTTTGTGAAGATGAAAACAATCGTAAAATTGCAGCAGGAACGATGTCAGTTCTTGAAACATCTAAACCTTTCAAATTAGGAAGCTTACTCCAATGCTGTGAAACCATATTCCATTTCATGTTTGTTGTCCCTGCAACTGAGAGAAAGCGAACTGATACAACACTTCCTAATGCTGTCTCGTCAATATTAAGACAGTCAATGAACCCAATGTCAGCCATATTCGGACAATGCTTAGCCAAAGCATTAATGGCATCCCCATCAACATCCCGGATACCTGAAAGCCGAAGTTTCTGCAGTTTAGGACAGCAAATAGCAATAGCTTTTATTGCGTCACTGCTGATCCTTTCACAGAAATCAGGCCCAAGTTGGAGGCTCTCTAGTGCCTCATGTCGAGCCGCAATCACTGATAGAGTAGCATCAGTAATTTTCCGGCAGTAGTCACCACTAATTTCACGTAAACCCCTTGCTTGAAGATGTATAATTGCATCGGCAGATTCTGCCCCACGAAAGCGAAGCTTCTGAAGATTTGCACACCAAGAGGCAAGTGAAGCTGCCGCTGTGGCATCACACTTGTGCGCACGAAGATCCAATGACTGCCATAGGCATGGAGACATCCCCAGAGTCCTCCATGTCCTACATGTCGATGACAAGCTCGCCCTGTCACGATAATTCAGACACGAAAACAGCTGAACTACTGTATCATCAGGCAATCTAGTCCAATCAAGAACGCCTCTCTGATCCAATCTAAAACCTTCATCTTCAATCTCCGGGCAACTTGGCAAATCCACCTTTCCTTTCCCCCTTCTTGCTACCTTTCTCCGCACCCTCCGACTCATATCTTGCTCACTCACACGTCTAGAAACTGATATTCTCAGACCTCAAAAGCCTGGATTCTTAAACCAGTGATCAAACACAAAATAGAAATACTCTATGGACTAACAGATAATTAAAAACCAGTAAGAAATACACAAATTACCCAGAAACCAACACCTGTTCTTCACAACAAAATACCGTCAAAACCAATAATGCTGGAAAAAGAAAAACCCAGAAAGCGATGACACTTCAACCTCAAAGGCTCAATTTGCTAAACCATTCATGGAAGAAAGAAAATACAACAATAACCTCAGAGACCACAATTTCCAGACCATCGATGAATCAGACAAATACCCAGAAACCATCAACCTTCAATCTCAAAACCTCAAATCCCAAGCCCATCAAAGGTTCTACACAGGACCCAGAAAGGAATGCACTTTAACCCCAAATTCACAAATCCAAATAATACAATTCGTGGACACTGTCCAATCTACATGTATATCACATACAACTAAAAACTCACAGAATCCAAGCCAAATATGAGAAAATTGCAATAATAAATGCAGTGCAGTGAATAGAGTCAATAATCTCCTCCAACCTGAGTGCTTAGCCTTGTGGGTCTGAGATTAAAACCTTAAATCTTCTTGACTCATCAATAAATCAATTGCCTTTTAAGGGATTTACATTGAAGAAGTCGGAATAGAGCATCTATGATGGAGAGAGAGAGAGAGCTAGAGAGAGAGGGGATTGAGGAAGGTCGGACAGAATTCGGGTACGTATCAAAGCGATGGAAGAAAGCAAATCCAAACCCTCAAAGCACAGGTCCACACCCCTCCCCCTCTTCTCTAACCTCCCTTGATGATGTGAGTTACAAATGTAAGAATTCTTACAATTACAGTGGAGGATTGACAAAGGGTTACAAGGGATAAATGGGTACAGAATTACAGCTCTGGGGGTTGGGTTGGGTGGGGTGGGATTGGGGGAGAATGAGAAAATTGTATGGATTTAACTCACCATTGGAGCATCAATGACCCTCTTTGTAATAAGTTTTTTGAAATAGTAACTGCACTTAAAAAAGGCATGTGAGAATTGGAGTTTTCTGTTATATTTTGTTTCAACTAAATTTCCAATAACATACCCATCTGTTCATTAGTGCATTATCTTTGAAGATTTGCCTTAACAAAGCTGCCAAAAACATAGCAAGAATAAATAGTGTTACCTTTATTTTGAATAATTTGTTATATAAAATTGAAAATATAAAGTTAAGTCTCGTAAAAAATTAATAACTTGTTAAATAAATAATTAGATGGACTTCTTTTTTAGCATGGATTCTGAAACTAAAGTCTTATTTTTGATAAAAATATATTGAAATGACAATGTTTTTTTTCAATAACTGATCGATTGATATGTTATAAATTATACTCTCAACAAGTGTTTGAATTTATACTCTTTACACTTACTGAATGTGGTCAATGTAAATGAATCGAAACTTCATTGCTTTGAATTATACTAGATTTAGTTGAAAATGTTTGTTTAACATTGGGGTGCATTGTTATCAAATTAAGATAAACTTTGACTATAAAACTATAGTACCCACCCCCCTAGATTATGAATGTTAACAATCACTCTGTAAAAATTTGTTGACTTTCGCACCTAAATGGTGTCCTATTTATGTGCTAAATCATACTAATTCTGAGATTAAACATGTTTATTCTCCTTCTTGGTTCATTCACACGCATACATGCACACACGCACTTATATACATCCACCCACACTTTTTATACATTTACAAGTTCATAAAAAAAAAAAAAATTGTATCAAGTATTGTACAAATTGTATAAATTTTTATAGACTCTACATCTTAAACATTAGTTATTCACTTGCTAATGTATGTATTACGTATTCAGATAGTATTTAAAGAATGTTTTCTTCATCATAGGCTAGAGCATTATATACTAGGTCCGGGAGAGGGATAAATGCGTAAGGCTCAAACCCGGGTCCCAATCGGATCGAAATCTAGGACTCTTTTCTGGGAAGATTGTTGCTTACCTTACCTTNCAGATAGTATTTAAAGAATGTTTTCTTCATCATAGGCTAGAGCATTATATACTAGGTCCGGGAGAGGGATAAATGGGTAAGGCTCAAACCCGGGTCCCAATCGGATCGAAATCTAGGACTCTTTTCTGGGAAGATTGTTGCTTACCTTACCTTTGAATGTTAGTGTGGACAATGTGTATAAACAGGGTGTTGTACTAATGCTTGCCACTTAAGAAGCATATAGGTATTGTTGAAAAGAGGGGTAGTGATGGATGTTTTCTTAATGAAGTTGAGTTTTGATTGAAATGAAATGAGGCAGCTTCTTGAGGATGAGAGAAGAGTGATAGATTAAGCTGAGAAGTAGGTGCATTGCAGTATTTGACAATGTAATGCATGCTTCAACCAAACATGGGGGAAATGATTTAGACTTATAATTTGATGAATCCGACCCATAGATCCACCGGATTCCGCCCTCTTACCGTTCCCTTATGGTGCTCTACACTTACAACCACGGCTTGAGAGGTTACCTATATTGAGTTGGTACGGAAATGGGATCCCCAATAGCTGGAGACACAAGATTCATATGAGAAAACATAAATACATGGGTCTTCACTTGAGCCTCCAAAGATATAGGTACATGAACAGCGATTTGATCTCCGTCAAAATCTACATTGAATCCCTTACGAACTAATGGATGTAAACAAATAGTGTGCCCTTCCACTAAATCGGAGTGGAATGCTGAGTAGGTGTTCTAAAATGCTTGTATGCCTTATTTATGGAGAGTAGGTGCTCAATTCAGCAATACAGGATGTCCCTGCATAATGTCTTTAAGTATTTCTCATTCAAGCGACATGAGAAAACTGAAAAAAGAGAAAAGCCAGACAACTGAAGTCATGATTCAACTGNTAGCAATACAGGATGTCCCTGCATAATGTCTTTTAAGTATTTCTCATTCAAGTGACATGAGAAAACTGAAAAAAGAGAAAAGCCAGACAACTGAAGTCATGATTCAACTGACATATGCTTGTTCCATTGTACCGAAAATAGACTACAATGTAGCAGTTTCAGCACACAATTATGTGCTTCCTATGCTCTGTACAACAAAATGTTGCCATGTTTTCAGCATTTAATTCATTCCAGTCATGCTTCAGAATTAAAACTTGCACAAAAACAAGTACATATGTTATTTGCTTTTCACAGCACAAGCTAAAATATGCTTCAAAAAATATTCGTGCGACTCAGTTGCACACAACATCAGNCAAAATGTTGCCATGTTTTCAGCATTCAATTCATTCCAGTCATGCTTCAGAATTAAAACTTGCACAAAAACAAGTACATATGTTATTTCCTTTTCACAGTACAAGCTAAAATATGCTTCAAAAAATATTCGTGCGACTCAGTTGCACACAACATCAGAGTAGAATCCTATGGTTCGTCTTTGACAATCTTGAACGCTGAGCAGCTCCACATCAAAAACCTCAAATTGTTTTGCGCTAAAAAAAGTGGAAGGTCCTACCTGCAGAAGGCAAGAAGACATCCTCAATAAAAGCTTGTGGCATATGTAGCTATATTCTGTCCCATGAAAAAGATTGCAATGAATCAGGATAGAAATGGAAACTCGGGTTTTAGTTTCATAGAGCAACTTGGTTGAACTCCAATATTCATAAAATGCTTGACAATGGTTTACAATTGCTTCAGTCTTCTAATGCAATTCCCCTTTCCTTGAGATTGATACATTTCACGACTCACATATTAGCTAGACATGCCAGGCTAATGGATGAAGCAGCTTCATTATGAAAGAAGGAGCTAGAACTTTGAAGTTCATCAGGACATGGTCTTTAACAATCAATTAACAACAGTAGCGACTTCCAGAGTGAAAGGGAATGTCCTTGTCTTTCTCAAACCCAACAAATTTCGCTGGTATTTAAAGTTAGTCAGAACATCATCTTTAACAAAAAAAGGCATTAGACCTCCAGTGTACGAAACTGTCATCTTTATCAAACCATATAGCTTCACTTTTAAGCTCAAACAAGCAAATTCCATGTCATTAATATTTGACCCTTCCTTGCTCTGTCCAGAACACTGTGACTAGTTATCCGTCATAGTATACAAAATCAGAAGAGGCAACACAGAGAGGTTTATGGTACTAAAGCAAAAAAAAAAAAAAAAAGGAAGAAAACAAAATCGGAAAATATAAAATACACAGAAAAATATGACTCACCGGGGGTCCAAGTTCCGGAGGAATAATTAATCTTCTTTTCCCCCCGGGTCTCATGTCTCGAATTCCTTCTTCAAATCCTACACAAGTACTCTTCAATTTACTGAACTTTTCACCATATCCAATAAGAAAGCATAAAAGCTCATCAGTCATATCCTGGCTTTAAAATCCTACCTGGAACTAATGCATTAGTGCCCATTCGGATTTTTGCAGGAGATCCCTGCAGATAGGTGCTGTCGATACGACGGCCTGACTCATTGTAGCCAACATAGTGAAAAGTTACCTGCAAAGAACCCTCAATTAAGGAAACAAATCTTTTGAAGGCTATCAAACATTTTTTAACAAATCCTTTTGTTAAATGCATAAAGAAAGTAAACCTGTTGACCAGCCGTTGGGCAATCACCTTTACCAACTTCAAAGTCCAGGTATATAAGTCCAGAGTCACGTTTTTCATAGTTTTCTGATGTCACTACTTTAACCTCAAAACCTGAACCAGATTACAAGCGTAATTGTAACACAACAGGCAATTGCATTAAAGATGAGAAACAAAATATTTTTTTGTGTAGAGTGGACCACTGATGCTGCTCGATTAAAGGCAAGGAGAAACCTTCTCTAACAAAACTTGGGAAGTCTTCTGGTGCATTGTTTTCTTTCTGCACCCGCTTGTTTTGTTCAAGTAGGCGCTTTTCATCATATGGGTTCTTACTTTTTGTCTTTCCACCAGAAGGCAAAGTTGGAAACAGTCCTGTTGAGACTAAAAAGAAGAGGAGAAATCTCCGCTTCAAATTCTCCTCATAATGCCGTAACCCTTTCTGTTCTCTAGCCATACATTATTTATTGTGAGCAACTAAGCAAGAGGGAATATGACTGATTGAAACACCTTAAGCATATTAGTTAGTCCTACCTGTCATTTTTCAATCTATGACTTGAGCAACAATGCAGTATGAGTTTCTTCTGATCAGAAAGATTGCCGAATGTGAGAAAAGCTGAGAGAGNAAATTTTTATATTTTGTTTTGAAATATAAAGAGGGCTAAGCATATATCTAATAAAGGGATCGGTGATCCACATTAAGATGATCCTAGAAGAAAATAATCCGGATTAAACAAGACATATTTTCAAAAGAATTAAACTTAATCTCCNTTCTATCTGTATGAAGAAAGATAGAAATGTACATCTCAATTTCACAAAAAGAAGCAATTAAAAATACAGGAAGAGAGGAAACATAATCTGATTCATGCTCTATCTTGTTGACAAGAAGATAGACGAACAAAGACAGAGAAGAATATTGTAGCCACCANGAAACATAATCTGATTCATGCTTTATCTTGTTGACAAGAAGATAGACGAACAAAGACAGAGAAGAATATTGTAGCCACCAGTCAAGAGTTAAACTACGAAAAATTGTAGACTTAGAAACATTTCTACAAAAATCTGATCAAAAGCTTTGTCAAAGCATGTCAAAAATAGGGATATTGAGAGATACTACTTCCTTTTTATGGAACGCTGCTGACACTCAGAAAACTTTCAAAGAAAATTGCCATCTTAAGAAGCAGACAGACAAATAACTGAATAACCATTTTGTAAAAAACATAAGATGATACTAAATACAGAAGTAATAATAGGATTTCCCTATTGGACTGGGAAGCCACTTGACTTAAGTATGTACCTAGCATAGTAGCATCAAAAATGAAACTTTGCATTTGGAAAATTACATTTTATTTCTAAAGCTAAAGAAACAATTGGAACTATAAAGAGAAATATCTTAACGAAGAGAAAAACTCCAGATAGTTGATATAAGATGCTTTCCTTGATACGCGGAGGAATGCCTTTATTTTTTTTACTTCAAATAACTGACATAATAGAGAATCTCATGATTGATAGCTCATCTCTTGATTCATTTTCACAAGCCAGTAAAAACTAACAATAATGACTTCTAATTGATGGAATAATATCAAAAATGGTCATGACAAACAAGAGGGTGTCCACAGACACGAACCCACACACACAGATAGATATGTTGTACACAACACACACAGTAGAACACACATAGACAAACATAGTCAGATAAGCACACATAAAAAATAAAAAATAAAACCATCAATGAAAACAAGATCAACATTTCAGAACAATAAGCTGAGGTGCCGTGGAATTCAGCTATCATTACTTCAGTGGAAAAAAAAATTGTCGACAACTTCATGTCGTCATAAGTGTCTCAAAATATACCCGCACAAGGGGAGGCATTGCTTCGGTCATGAGACAAGTGAAAAAAACAAATGAGAACATCTTTTTGATTTCGGGCTTCTACCGACGGAAGGACCGAAGATAAGAGATGCTCTTATATTCGGTTTCTTCCTCCCGCGGTCCGCTTGAGTGAGAATCATTATTGTCGATTTACTATGTGCCACAAACAAGATAAAGTGAAATTTCCTATAACATTCCCTGGAATATACCAAACACAGCAATACCCAATTACCCATTACAGAAAACTAATGATTCAAAACCCCATCCATATTTTTCCATGCCACATTAAGTAAGTGTGTGTGTGTGTGTGAGAGAGAGAGAGAGAGAGAGAGAGAGTTACAAGGAAAAGGTGGCTTGGTGAGAAGAGAAGGTGTTGAAGAGAGAATCAGCATGGCTTTGTATCAAAGCTCCAAGCTTTTCAGAGCATAACTATGGCAGCTAAAGGAGCAAATTCAGAGGGGGTCGAGCTGGTTTAGTGGTTCCCTGGATCGAGAGTAATCACTTTATCTTCATTTGGCTGGTAGAACTTAAATGTCGTTAACATCCCTGTTGTTTCTTGAAATATCATCAATCTCCTTGAGGTCTCAAAATATATGCTGTCTATGTTTTTTTTTAGGGTTAATTGTAAATTATACCTCAAAAGATTAGTCGAATTTTAATTTATACCCCCAAAGATAACAAATTTTAATATACACCCTCAAAAATAAAAATTTATATCAATGTGCACTCTTAAAAATTAAAAATTTTAATTTATACCCTCAAAGATAAAAATTTGTATCAATCTCCTTGAGGTCTCAAAATATATGTTGTGCATGTAAAGTAGGTTTTTTTTATTAAAATTAAAAAATTAAATGTAAATTATAATATAAATCTTCATATTTAAATAATTTAGGTCGTGTTTTCTTGCTTAGATATCGCTAAGGTTTTGAGTGAATTATACTAACTTCCCATGAAATATACTTAAAATATGCTTCACAGTTATATATTTGATAAATTACACTAACTCCCCATCAGAGTTTTTGTTTAGTCACAAACTGACCGGAACTACCAAGTCAACCTTTGTCATGTTTTAAATAGTGGTGAACTTTAATCAGAACCAAATTAGTAAAAACCAAATATGGTAGCGAGCCGAGTTACTTAAGTTTGGCTCGTTTTAAACTTATTTAAGAAAAAAAAAATTCGATTCAAACTAATAAAATTCAACTCATTTATATATAAAATAATTAAGCTATTCAGACTTGAATCGAAACAATTTTTTAAGCTAAAAAACAAGTTCAACAGACTCAACTCAATTATCAGCTCTAACCGCCACCCTTCCACCACACTCACCGCCCCTAATCAAAACCAAACACCTCTATTTCTCTCTCTACTCTCTTTCCCCTTTCTCTTCTTGTCACTACCTACAGTTTGGGTGGTGGAGATGGTGGGGATTTTTGGCAGTGGATTCATTTTAGAGTGAACGGGCAAAAAAAAAAAAAAAGAAGATAAAACGTGACAGAGACTAGTTTTTGAAATAATTTCTAAATTTTTATATTTTGTTTTGAAATATAAAGAGGGCTAAGCATATATCTAAAGGGATCGGTGATCCACATTAAGATGATCCTACAAGAAAATAATCCGGATTAAACAAGACATATTTTCAAAAGAATTAAACTTAATCTCCCGGAGTATTTATCACTGAAACCTTGCCCATGGAACTATCCTCAGGGAATGTTATAAGGTTCAACCGGAATCTTTCTTTCACCTAATGGGGCTAGGCATGAGATTCAGAGAACATAACATGCCACTTGCCCAGCATGATCACAGCATAACAATTACCCAACTAGAATTTATCCGACGCCACATTGTAGAAATGAGAATCTCGAAAGCTGAACTATTGAAACCAAACACCCTTAACCAAAATTCTGAAACAGTAGTTCCTGCTGCATATATATATGCATAGAGAGAGAGAGAGAGAGAGAGAGANAGAAACATTTCTACAAAAATCTGATCAAAAGCTTTGTCAAAACATGTCAAAAATAGGGATATTGAGAGATACTACTTCCTTTTTATGGAACGCTGCTGAAACTCAGAAAACTTTCAAAGAAAATTGCCATCTTAAGAAGCAGACAGACAAATAACTGAATAACCATTTTGTAAAAAACATAAGATGATACTAAATACAGAAGTAATAATAGGATTTCCCTATTGGACTGGGAAGCCACTTGACTTAAGTATGTACCTAGCATAGTAGCATCAAAAATGAAACTTTGCATTTGGAAAATTACATTTTATTTCTAAAGCTAAAGAAACAATTGGAACTATAAAGAGAAATATCTTAACGAAGAGAAAAACTCCAGATAGTTGATATAAGATGCTTTCCTTGATACGCGGAGGAATGCCTTTATTTTTTTTACTTCAAATAACTGACATAATAGAGAATCTCATGATTGATAGCTCATCTCTTGATTCATTTTCACAAGCCAGTAAAAACTAACAATAATGACTTCTAATTGATGGAATAATATCAAAAATGGTCATGACAAACAAGAGGGTGTCCACAGACACGAACCCACACACACAGATAGATATGTTGTACACAACACACACAGTAGAACACACATAGACAAACATAGTCAGATAAGCACACATAAAAAATAAAAAATAAAACCATCAATGAAAACAAGATCAACATTTCAGAACAATAAGCTGAGGTGCCGTGGAATTCAGCTATCATTACTTCAGTGGAAAAAAAAATTGTCGACAACTTCATGTCGTCATAAGTGTCTCAAAATATACCCGCACAAGGGGAGGCATTGCTTCGGTCATGATACAAGTGAAAAAAACAAATGAGAACATCTTTTTGATTTCGGGCTTCTACCGACGGAAGGACCGAAGATAAGAGATGCTCTTATATTCGGTTTCTTCCTCCCGCGGTCCGCTTGAGTGAGAATCATTATTGTCGATTTACTATGTGCCACAAACAAGATAAAGTGAAATTTCCTATAACATTCCCTGGAATATACCAAACACAGCAATACCCAATTACCCATTACAGAAAACTAATGATTCAAAACCCCATCCATATTTTTCCATGCCACATTAAGTAAGTGTGTGTGTGTGTGTGAGAGAGAGAGAGAGAGAGAGAGAGAGTTACAAGGAAAAGGTGGCTTGGTGAGAAGAGAAGGTGTTGAAGAGAGAATCAGCATGGCTTTGTATCAAAGCTCCAAGCTTTTCAGAGCATAACTATGGCAGCTAAAGGAGCAAATTCAGAGGGGGTCGAGCTGGTTTAGTGGTTCCCTGGATCGAGAGTAATCACTTTATCTTCATTTGGCTGGTAGAACTTAAATGTCGTTAACATCCCTGTTGTTTCTTGAAATATCATCAATCTCCTTGAGGTCTCAAAATATATGCTGTCTATGTTTTTTTTTAGGGTTAATTGTAAATTATACCTCAAAAGATTAGTCGAATTTTAATTTATACCCCCAAAGATAACAAATTTTAATATACACCCTCAAAAATAAAAATTTATATCAATGTGCACTCTTAAAAATTAAAAATTTTAATTTATACCCTCAAAGATAAAAATTTGTATCAATCTCCTTGAGGTCTCAAAATATATGTTGTGCATGTAAAGTAGGTTTTTTTTATTAAAATTAAAAAATTAAATGTAAATTATAATATAAATCTTCATATTTAAATAATTTAGGTCGTGTTTTCTTGCTTAGATATCGCTAAGGTTTTGAGTGAATTATACTAACTTCCCATGAAATATACTTAAAATATGCTTCACAGTTATATATTTGATAAATTACACTAACTCCCCATCAGAGTTTTTGTTTAGTCACAAACTGACCGGAACTACCAAGTCAACCTTTGTCATGTTTTAAATAGTGGTGAACTTTAATCAGAACCAAATTAGTAAAAACCAAATATGGTAGCGAGCCGAGTTACTTAAGTTTGGCTCGTTTTAAACTTATTTAAGAAAAAAAAAATTCGATTCAAACTAATAAAATTCAACTCATTTATATATAAAATAATTAAGCTATTCAGACTTGAATCGAAACAATTTTTTAAGCTAAAAAACAAGTTCAACAGACTCAACTCAATTATCAGCTCTAACCGCCACCCTTCCACCACACTCACCGCCCCTAATCAAAACCAAACACCTCTATTTCTCTCTCTACTCTCTTTCCCCTTTCTCTTCTTGTCACTACCTACAGTTTGGGTGGTGGAGATGGTGGGGATTTTTGGCAGTGGATTCATTTTAGAGTGAACGGGCAAAAAAAAAAAAAAAGAAGATAAAACGTGACAGAGACTAGTTTTTGAAATAATTTCTAAATTTTTATATTTTGTTTTGAAATATAAAGAGGGCTAAGCATATATCTAAAGGGATCGGTGATCCACATTAAGATGATCCTACAAGAAAATAATCCGGATTAAACAAGACATATTTTCAAAAGAATTAAACTTAATCTCCCGGAGTATTTATCACTGAAACCTTGCCCATGGAACTATCCTCAGGGAATGTTATAAGGTTCAACCGGAATCTTTCTTTCACCTAATGGGGCTAGGCATGAGATTCAGAGAACATAACATGCCACTTGCCCAGCATGATCACAGCATAACAATTACCCAACTAGAATTTATCCGACGCCACATTGTAGAAATGAGAATCTCGAAAGCTGAACTATTGAAACCAAACACCCTTAACCAAAATTCTGAAACAGTAGTTCCTGCTGCATATATATATGCATAGAGAGAGAGAGAGAGAGAGAGAGAGAGAGAGAGATTTTATAGGAACACCATATATATCCACACACATATATATGGAAGACTGTTTTTCTTCCTTTTCATAAACAACTCAACTTGCTTCACATAACATGTNGCATGTCAAAAATAGGGATATTGAGAGATACTACTTCCTTTTTATGGAACGCTGCTGACACTCAGAAAACTTTCAAAGAAAATTGCCATCTTAAGAAGCAGACAGACAAATAACTGNATTGAGTCCCTTCACATAACATGTCTCCTCAATGTACAGGTATGTATCCGGAATTTCAGTGGCCAGCAGCCTTTGATTCTGGAAAGGAGGAGCGGTGCTCGACTTGCAGATGTACCTGTNTGAATAACCATTTTGTAAAAAACATAAGATGATACTAAATACAGAAGTAATAATAGGATTTCCCTATTGGACTGGGAAGCCACTTGACTTAAGTATGTACCTAGCATAGTAGCATCAAAAATGAAACTTTGCATTTGGAAAATTACATTTTATTTCTAAAGCTAAAGAAACAATTGGAACTATAAAGAGAAATATCTTAACGAAGAGAAAAACTCCAGATAGTTGATATAAGATGCTTTCCTTGATACGCGGAGGAATGCCTTTATTTTTTTTACTTCAAATAACTGACATAATAGAGAATCTCATGATTGATAGCTCATCTCTTGATTCATTTTCACAAGCCAGTAAAAACTAACAATAATGACTTCTAATTGATGGAATAATATCAAAAATGGTCATGACAAACAAGAGGGTGTCCACAGACACGAACCCACACACACAGATAGATATGTTGTACACAACACACACAGTAGAACACACATAGACAAACATAGTCAGATAAGCACACATAAAAAATAAAAAATAAAACCATCAATGAAAACAAGATCAACATTTCAGAACAATAAGCTGAGGTGCCGTGGAATTCAGCTATCATTACTTCAGTGGAAAAAAAAATTGTCGACAACTTCATGTCGTCATAAGTGTCTCAAAATATACCCGCACAAGGGGAGGCATTGCTTCGGTCATGATACAAGTGAAAAAAACAAATGAGAACATCTTTTTGATTTCGGGCTTCTACCGACGGAAGGACCGAAGATAAGAGATGCTCTTATATTCGGTTTCTTCCTCCCGCGGTCCGCTTGAGTGAGAATCATTATTGTCGATTTACTATGTGCCACAAACAAGATAAAGTGAAATTTCCTATAACATTCCCTGGAATATACCAAACACAGCAATACCCAATTACCCATTACAGAAAACTAATGATTCAAAACCCCATCCATATTATTCCATGCCACATTAAGTAAGTGTGTGTGTGTGTGTGAGAGAGAGAGAGAGAGAGAGAGAGAGTTACAAGGAAAAGGTGGCTTGGTGAGAAGAGAAGGTGTTGAAGAGAGAATCAGCATGGCTTTGTATCAAAGCTCCAAGCTTTTCAGAGCATAACTATGGCAGCTAAAGGAGCAAATTCAGAGGGGGTCGAGCTGGTTTAGTGGTTCCCTGGATCGAGAGTAATCACTTTATCTTCATTTGGCTGGTAGAACTTAAATGTCGTTAACATCCCTGTTGTTTCTTGAAATATCATCAATCTCCTTGAGGTCTCAAAATATATGCTGTCTATGTTTTTTTTTAGGGTTAATTGTAAATTATACCTCAAAAGATTAGTCGAATTTTAATTTATACCCCCAAAGATAACAAATTTTAATATACACCCTCAAAAATAAAAATTTATATCAATGTGCACTCTTAAAAATTAAAAATTTTAATTTATACCCTCAAAGATAAAAATTTGTATCAATCTCCTTGAGGTCTCAAAATATATGTTGTGCATGTAAAGTAGGTTTTTTTTATTAAAATTAAAAAATTAAATGTAAATTATAATATAAATCTTCATATTTAAATAATTTAGGTCGTGTTTTCTTGCTTAGATATCGCTAAGGTTTTGAGTGAATTATACTAACTTCCCATGAAATATACTTAAAATATGCTTCACAGTTATATATTTGATAAATTACACTAACTCCCCATCAGAGTTTTTGTTTAGTCACAAACTGACCGGAACTACCAAGTCAACCTTTGTCATGTTTTAAATAGTGGTGAACTTTAATCAGAACCAAATTAGTAAAAACCAAATATGGTAGCGAGCCGAGTTACTTAAGTTTGGCTCGTTTTAAACTTATTTAAGAAAAAAAAAATTCGATTCAAACTAATAAAATTCAACTCATTTATATATAAAATAATTAAGCTATTCAGACTTGAATCGAAACAATTTTTTAAGCTAAAAAACAAGTTCAACAGACTCAACTCAATTATCAGCTCTAACCGCCACCCTTCCACCACACTCACCGCCCCTAATCAAAACCAAACACCTCTATTTCTCTCTCTACTCTCTTTCCCCTTTCTCTTCTTGTCACTACCTACAGTTTGGGTGGTGGAGATGGTGGGGATTTTTGGCAGTGGATTCATTTTAGAGTGAACGGGCAAAAAAAAAAAAAAAGAAGATAAAACGTGACAGAGACTAGTTTTTGAAATAATTTCTAAATTTTTATATTTTGTTTTGAAATATAAAGAGGGCTAAGCATATATCTAATAAAGGGATCGGTGATCCACATTAAGATGATCCTAGAAGAAAATAATCCGGATTAAACAAGACATATTTTCAAAAGAATTAAACTTAATCTCCCGGAGTATTTATCACTGAAACCTTGCCCATGGAACTATCCTCAGGGAATGTTATAAGGTTCAACCGGAATCTTTCTTTCACCTAATGGGGCTAGGCATGAGATTCAGAGAACATAACATGCCACTTGCCCAGCATGATCACAGCATAACAATTACCCAACTAGAATTTATCCGACGCCACATTGTAGAAATGAGAATCTCGAAAGCTGAACTATTGAAACCAAACACCCTTAACCAAAATTCTGAAACAGTAGTTCCTGCTGCATATATATATGCATAGAGAGAGAGAGAGAGAGAGAGAGAGAGAGAGAGATTTTATAGGAACACCATATATATCCACACACATATATATGGAAGACTGTTTTTCTTCCTTTTCATAAACAACTCAACTTGCTTCACATAACATGTCTCCTCAATGTACAGGTATGTATCCGGAATTTCAGTGGCCAGCAGCCTTTGATTCTGGAAAGGAGGAGCGGTGCTCGACTTGCAGATGTACCTGTCTTAAAACTTCCGAGGCACAGTCGCCACAAGAGCAGATGGGGCTTGCATTCCCCAGACTAGGGAAAAAGATGAATTGTTTCGGAAGGGCAAATATTATTCACTCATCTACAATTATGGAAGGGAAAAAAAAAAGAAGGAAGAAACATTTTAGTTTATCGACCTGGTTAGTGCTGACACCTCAATAAACCCTGATGTCCACACCAATACTCCCCAGCTGATCAGTACTGGCAGACCTTCTGAGCTTCTTGCTTGAAATTTTCTGGTTTGCATGGCAACGAAGCCAGAGGCATGAAAGCCTGGATATGGTTGCCTGACTAGCAAACTGGACCCTACAAGCCAAGCTCAGCTCTGCTAACATCTTGTTACCCACTAAAACTGAATCAAGGCTCTCATCATAGCCGTCTAGGTCTGACTCTGCAACCAACACTACAGAGCCATCATCAAAGGCTGCCAGGTCATGTTTAGAAGCAAAAGCTGGCATTGTCTTCATTAATTTGTTCATGCATGCATTGCTTTCCGTTTTCTTCACCCTGCGAAGATAGTAGTCTTGGACAGCCTGCATTTCAATAAAACAAAAAAACACAATAGAAGGCGATGAGCTCAGAAGTAAAACAGATTTCATACCAGAACAACTAATTTGTTTAAAATTCATGGTAAAACAAGGCAAGTTCAGTGAATTCCAACTGAAAGACTACAATTAAGGACGCGAAGTCTGATTAATAGAAACCCCTAATCAAGCAACAGGACAAGTCCTTCATTAGTCAATGGATACCCAATCTAACAATCCAATGGCTTCAAGCAAAACTACTGGCTTCCTCCATGAAGGACCACTTTACATATGTATGCACAGTATAAACATTTTGCATTGCAAGAGCGCCAAAAGAAAAACTGTCGCAATAATACTTACCACCATGCATAATTATTGTGTGATCCTGAATGGAGTTCTTCATAATACGCCTTTAACATTCTATAAGCATTTCAAGGATAATGCAAAAATTATAAAAAAAAAATGGTGTAGCATAGACCGCATGCTGCAACACTTACCATCACCTGTACTTGAATTGTCAAAATCACAAAAAAGTACAAAATAACAACATTACAGCAGAAGAATTAATCATACCCGCAGCTGGGAAGAGGCTAAGAGGACCCTTGGTCTAATGGACCTCACATACTCGTATGCAGCATCAGGTGTCATCTGCTTGTGTTCCACCTGTTTTTAACGGACATATTTGATAAAAAANAGCTGGGAAGAGGCTAAGAGGACCCTTGGTCTAATGGACCTCACATACTCGTATGCAGTATCAGGTGTCATCTGCTTGTGTTCCACCTGTTTTTAACGGACATATTTGATAAAAAAAATCAACTACATTGTAAATTGATTGTTCAATATAGTCTCCAGGTAGCAATTCATACCAGGTAACAGAGAACAATGGTTGTGCTTCGCCCCCGACCAGCCTTACAGTGGACGTATGTTGTTTTGCCACAAGATGCATTCTCTTCAACCATCAGAACAAAAACAATGTCTAGAATAAGAACTCTCAACTGAGACACCAATACTCAAAAATAAAGGGCAAAATGATGTAATTCTATAGTCCAAATCATAATCCAAAGATATTTCCTACTAAAAGTGCAAAGTGAAAGAAAAAGCAAGTCCGATTGGAACAAATGGATACCCAAAAGGACCTGGTTTCTCAGTAATCCAAACGATTCTATCCCCTAACCAATCCAAAAAGATAACAATCACCACTTAACTGCATTGGTTTGTCTTTCAAGGACAACTATGACAGAGCACAATCATGCAACTACCTAGTGCAGTGCAGGCCAAAATAGGTAACCAAAATATACAGGACGTGTAAAATTAGCTGGTGATCAAATGACCCAAAATGTGTGGTTTATTACTAAAGAATGTCTTCAAAAGTAAACATGGGCTCCAATCCAACAGGTGGGACTCAAAAGTGGTCATTAGGGGTTCTTTTCTATGTTCTTGGAACAACATTTCATATGGTTTGAATTGACTAATAGGGAAGTGTTGATACATTCCTCTTTGTTGTCTTTGATTCAACCAGTCTATTTAGTACTGGGATTGGATGACTAAAGGCTGTAGGTCATTGATTCTTCTAATGTTTATTATGTAAATCTGATTTCCACTTGATTGATTGATGACCCATTTTCTTCAATTTTCGAACCTCATTAGATGATTTGTAAGGTTAAAATGCTTGTTAAGGTGCAAGCATTTGCTAGGACTGTGGCTAATGGTAAGATCAATACTCGTGAAGTGTATCACAAGACTGAATGGCCGAAGACATATCTGTCTACCCAATAGTACATAATGTATAGGAAAAGCTGTGAAAGTGTGGATCAACTCTTTATCAATTGTCTTGGGACTTTGAAACTCTGGTATAAAGCTTATGGAGAGTTTAGCTTGAGATTAGGTAACTGCAAGAGATTTTCTTTTTCGTAATCTTCCCATAATTTAATGAAAGGTATACTTCTTGTCAAAAGGGAAAAAAAATTCTAAAATGCACATTGATGCTTTACAGATAGCATTTTCAGGATTGCAGAGTCTTCATTACATCATGCCAGCCAACTTTAGCAAGTGACAAAGCACTGGCAAAGTACCGTCTATGACAACCTGGCAACCCAGGTTCAAATCCCACAAAAAAAGTTACATTCCTTGTAGAACAAATAGAGGTAACATGTAAACTATATATTATTTTAAGACGATAAGAAGGACAACTTATAATTTTGAGAAGATGCTTACCATGGATGAAGCTTACAGCTTGACAAATATCACCATAGGATGGCGCAAAAAGATAATCTCTGGTCGGAATCACTAAATGATCAATGCTGTGAGCCTGCAAAGAGGATACAAACAATTCGATTTGTACCTGGACGCTAAAGTTGATAGATCAATAGGACAAGAATTTTTGAGATAAGGCACTTGATGGTGCATTTACAATGAAATTCATTTAAGTGAGACACACAACTCCAAGCATTAAATGATCAATACTGTGAGCCTGCAAAGAGGATACAAACAATTCGATTTGCACCTGGACATTAAGTTGAAAGACCATTAGGATACAAAAAAAAAAAAAAAACAAAGACCATGAGGACAAGAATTTTTCACACAAGGCACTTAATGGTGCATTTAAAGNAAAAAAAAATACAAAGACCATGAGGACAAGAATTTTTCACACAAGGCACTTAATGGTGCATTTAAAGTGAAATTCATTTATGCGAAAGACACAACTCCAAAATTCCAATCCCATGCACAACTCAAAAGGAATGCCAATGACATAGCAGTAAAATCATTTCAAAGGTGAAAGAGTGAATCAGAGTATGTGCATGGGGCTACAAGCGGCCAATTTGGATTTACACATCAATCCAACACATGCTTCAGAAGATCAGATTATATGATTGGCATGTTTTGATGAACAAACTGGATCGTTGGCCCTCCCTCAAACCAGTAAAATGTCGGGCAGCTTCCAATCTAAGAAGAACAAACACGGACACGAGAAACAGATGCGACACGACATGGACACGGCATTTCCCAACCACGTAGGACATGAACAGGTCAAAGATACGTCACAAATAATTAAACATTACATATAAAATTATTTCCCAACAAAGTAGGACATTGCCTAATGAAGTGTCAGGCACAGCAACCAAGGAGGGTCGGACATTAAACCCTTATCTTTTAGTTATGGACACAAATAAAAGAGTCTCCGACACGGGACTGAGAGCATCCGCAAAGCATTGGTGCCCGACAAGTGTCCAACACGGAAACGTCGCCTTTTGGAAAATGTCCATGCTTCTTAGCTTCCAATTACAACAATAATTCAAGTAATAGTATTGTTTCTGTCCTTATTTTCGCTTCATACCATTCCATGTTAAATTTATGCATAGGAAAAGGATATGACCTATGAATGAATTTAGAGTGAGCAGGCTTACAAGATATAATGATGTTGGGACCAAAGTTTCATATGGCTCATTTAGAGTAACCACTCCACCAACACCAAGTTCCTTCAAGCGGGGAACATCAGCAGGAAATGGTACAGCACCTAACAATAAAAACTGACAAGGGAAAACACAAAAAAGTTAGCACTATGTTAAAAATATTGTCAATCAATGGAAAGGACAAACGAGAGTTAGCACACAAACAACACAAATCTGAAATGATATAAACAATTTACATGTATAAAACAAAAAACTAAAATTTGATAATCCTACACCGCAGCCATTATCTCAAAAACTCATGCGAAAAAAGGCATAGGAAACAAAAAATAAAACCACTGTAGTATGATACTGTATTCGATAGAATGTAATTGCTATCAATGCCATCAAATTATACACAGGAAACACAAATCCAAGTTGCATTCCATATAGAGGAGATACATATTATGTGGCTTGTATACTACATAGAAAGACAACATTCCAAAACAACAAACTAATCGATCGTAGATAAACCTAAAAATGCTAGCAAACCTGGTAACCCGTCTCAATATATTTTCAGATCAAAAGATACTGAAACCAAAAATCAGCAAAGGAAAAAAAAAACTATCAAATGATCTTCTTACACAAATACAAAGGAGAAGAGCATCTAAAAGATGGAACGGTATTGACCATCCACTTTCTTGTTTATCCACAAATTGTCTCAGACAATTGTAATCTAAATAAAATTCAATCTCTTACAGTTCATTAAGAAAGAGGAGACTAACGAGCAAAGCTCAGCTTAATAAAAGAAAACCAAAACATTGACTAAAAGATTATCATTTGAGCAGACTTGATTTATCAATTTTTTTTCAGAAAAAGGAAAACCAAAATAAAATCAAGGGCTTACTGTCTAAACACATGATTTATAACACGGATGTTTTTACAATCTAAAGAAAATAAGACAAAGGAGTTACTGCTCCTGACCATATTGTCTAGATGTTTAAGAGTGGAGAGGTCGTATAAGGAGAGTGCTGTTGACACTTCGATAGTAGTTTAAATATTCCTTTAGTAACTGTGGGTTGGACGATAATGATGATGCAAATGCAGTTCATGTCACACAAGCATATTTCTCAATATCCATATACATACCACAATTTAACTGCTAGAAATAGTTGGGTGAACAGCAATTCTAAGCATCATTAACCAAGGAAAGGACTCTACTAAAGATCATAATTGAGGCAAATTTACAAATGACATGAACAATCGGACTCAAATATCATGTAGTCAACAAGGGAGTTAACAGCCAACAAATACATGTCATGAGAGACTGTCCAAAACTCATGACTCGACAACTAAGAAGTCATACTACTAATGGGGAGTCCCTTAGCTTTGTTTCACTCCAAGATCTATCTGTCATATTATCTATCGTATGTTCTGCTTTTGTCGCCTTTTTTACCCTCTATCAAATAAATGGAAAGCATGCTTTCGAAAGTAGTGGTAAAAATCACACACATGTTACCTAAAATTAGAATAAGAGAAAAATTGCCCAAACTTTTTGGAAAAAAAGCTCCAGATGTTAAAAAAAGAAGATGCATATCAGCCATCGTTCCAAATTTATGCTCTTTTTAAAAAGTTTTGTTTAGACTAAAATAGTTGGCGTCTATTGTAGAATTTTTTTATGCAAAAATACTTGCCTNCAGAAGATGCATATCAGCCATCGTTCCAAATTTAAGCTCTTTTTAAAAATTTTTGCTTAGACTAAAATAGTTGGCGTCTATTGTAGAATTTTTTTATGCAAAAATACTTGCCTTTTAGAGCCCAAGGAACCACTCTGTAGATTGAATGTAATACCAACCAAAAAAAAAAAATAGCATGCATGTGCATACATCATTCGAGTGTCTATTAAATTTGGGTTAAATAAATTTAGCATAAAAGAACAAATTATAAAGGATATTCAATGTGAACAATAGGTAACCAAAGAGTTTGTTTCAATAGAGAGGATTGGATCATATAATTCTGTTCACATTATGCCAAATCAGTAATGATGAAAGGACTAAGGTCCCAACATAATTCCGAACATGTGCCTCAGAAATCCCCATAACATCAAGTATGGCAATGGTACAGAAACTTAGCTAAAATCCTGGGATACACAAAAGGCAAAATCACGATTGCAGTTTTGTATAAGTTGAAACCATCACACAGGTTAGGTTTTTTTTCTAAAACTGGGTGAAACTGAGAAAGTTCAAGGCTATCCATAGTTTCAAAAAGTCAACAGTTCCCATAAAATAAACAATACCATATGTAACGAGCAAAGAAAAACAATACTATATGTTCTTAGTCAGTCAAGCATATGCCCCGCACAAGAATTCAGAATAATAAACAAACAATGATATCATCATACCGAGAATTCACAAATTTCTATTCATTGATTTGTCCAAAGATCAGTTTCTCCAGTCAAATAGAAGTGTTCAAAGTTCACAGTATCACTGTTTACAGCCAGAGGTATCATCTAACCTACATTCTTTCGGAGCAGTTTACTATCACTATACACAGAAATAGTAAAATGCATGTGAAGAAAGAAGGAGATGCAGATTATACAATCAAACAGACGAGATTAGTGTGTATGTATACCTCCTCAACCCTATCCCACCAACGGAACTCCGATTGAATCTTGTTCCGTACAACATTATACAACAGTGTCGGATAAAAAAGAGCACGAGCCCCCGCACCAACCAAAACTCGTTTGGCGTCTGCAACTACAATGGCACCATTAAAACGATGCTGTTTCCCACTCTCCCCCTCGTCCTCCTTAAGTTCCTCAATATACATATCTCAAATACAGTTCCACCAATATCAATCACACCCACTCCAGCAAAATACTCCAAAGATACAATTAAATTGGACTACAGACCGAGCGAATTGTCAAACCAGTTCAAATCAAGACCAGATTTAAACAAGAAAAAATGGATTAATTTGACACTGAATGAACGACATCAAGGACGCTTCAATCATCACCTTTCAAAAACCTCGAAATTAAGACAAATACCAAGGAAATCAAAAGAAAAATAGATAGCCAGAAAACCAATCGTATCAAGATTGATTCAAACAACGGAGACTGCAATTTCTACACCAAGTATTAACAAATTATAGAATACCCAACAACCAAACCTTCCGAAACACCAAAATCCAGCCTTCAAAAAAAGAAAACGCAAAGAAACCAACAAACCCACCAACCACCTCAAACCAAGACTCTCACTTCCCTTACACGACAAGTATAATGCTCTCTACTACAAATCAAACACCAAACCATGAGAAAAAACACATTCAATTCAGGAATATACATGCTCTTGATCATATTCCAAAAGACCCAAATCGAATAACAACAGAAAAATACCCTAGATTGAAAGAGAATATGAACTCTCTAGGACACGCAATAATAAAAGATTAGCCGAACCAAAGATTTCAAAAGCTTTGTTTGTTGGGTGTAATAATATCTTGCAAAAGTGAGAGGAGGGGAGGGAGGAGGGGCTCTCTCTCTCTCTCTCTCTCTCTCTCTCTCTCTCTCTGTGGTTTGAGTTTCTGTTTCTCTCTCCACTTTTCCTTTTCTCTCAACAACCAAAAGTAACGCTCTGTTTGAAGAAACTCTTTCCAATTACCCGAATTTTAAAAGAGTGTCTGTTTTTTTTTTCGGAAATTAATGAAGGGTTTTACTTTTTTTGGCTAATCTCACTTTTTACCCCGAAAAATACTTTAATTCTTAATTTATACCCTTAAATAATTAAAAATCTCAATTTATACCCTCAACATTATAAATTTGTAGCAGTGTAATGTAACCTTGACTACTGTTCAATTTTTAATCATAAATTAAAGCACGTGAAATATAAGTATTCTGAGCATGAGGATGAGGTATGTTCACAATTGTAGATCTTCATTTGCGATCAATTTGATATTATTTTGTATATAAAAAATAAAGTTTTATTAATCATATATAAATTAACCCTATCATTTGTAACTCACACGAAGCACCAACAGTATGTGAATTTATACATAAGCTCATGTCTGAAGTATGTGTAATTCGCGTGTTTCAATTTATGATGAAAAAAATTAACGATAATCTGAGTAAGGTCCATATTGCTACTAATTCATAACATTGAGTGTATAAATTGAGATTTTGAAATCGAAATATCTTTTCGGTGCAGAAAATGAGATTAGCCTAACTTTTTCTTAGGAAAGGAAATAGATTTTTTTTAAAAAAAAAAAATATGATGAATGATAGAAATTAAAATAGTAGGTAAGAAAATAACATGCAATAAATAAAATAAAATGGCTTATTGAGATGGTTACTCCTCATGTTTAAATATTTTTTGGTGTGACGATTGATTGAAATATTATATTTTCTAGATTAAGTCAAATCACACCATTACTAATGTAAAGAAAAATAGTTGTATGAATTCTTACATGATGAAAGAATTGATTGAATTTAGTAGTTGAGAGCATCATAACATTTCGTTGTTGGAAGTTGGATGATCAAATAGCTAGAAAAGGTAGGTAAGCAAAAGTTGTTATAACAACCTTCTTGTGGAGTTTCTTTAACACTACCAGTAGGATCAAGCAGTAGGGTGACATAATATGATACGATTCGTTACCATGATATAAATACGATATAAAATTAAAAGATTTGAATTTTTTTAAAGTTTTCTATTTCTTAAATGAGTGAACCCAACACAACACGATTAATAAACGAATCGTGTATGAGTAAAGTTAATCAAAAGAAATATACGATATGACTCATTTATATACCGATTATATGGGATTCATATTGTAAGAGGTAAAAAACAAAGGTACCTCTTACGCGAATGAATAAATGATATCTCCTTTATGAATGAATTCTGAACTTATTCTCCAAGTCTTTTTCCTCCTACAAAACAAATAAATTTTTCAAGATCGAAGACACTCTGATACTTAAGTCAGTATTGGAATTGAATGAATTACAAGAAGACAAGGAGAGTTTAGTGTACCTTTCACCTTGGCTCCTTATGCCTTTTATAGAGTTTTATTTAGTTTGGGTTTCCATGATTTTTTGATTTAAGGTGGTATACCTTCCTTTAATCAGACGATTCTGTTCAGGAAGTTGTTGAAATCTCTCTAGTAATTCTTTCTATCGAGCCTATAATCATATCCATTCATTTGACCAGAATGTCTAAATTATAAGCATCTCTTTCGCACCACATTTCTGTTTTAAACAGCTCGGTCATGAGGAGAACCGAACACATTCCTTCCTTTCCGAGCTCTCTGAACAGTTCGGTTGCTATCTAATGACAATCTAGTGATGTCTTTCTCACGTGGCTAGTTTTGTCACTCTCACGTGAGATCATTAAATGTTGTTATTCGTGTCGTAAAGGGAGCATCTCCTTCACATACACAATATGAACCCCGATATAATACGACCTATTAGACACAAATTAATAAATAACTCAAGTATGGATGAATTATTTTTTGACACAATCTACTTCATCCGACACTATTGATAAGCCTAGGATCAAGGACTTCTTATGCTTTTTTTTTAGCAAAGTGAAGATTTTGTTAATCCATTACAAGGGAATACAAAATCTAAACTGAGATTCTCCTCTGCGCCTCCCAAATCTGGATGTTATGGGTGAAGTGAGAATATTGCTTTTATCATTACATGATAGCCATGGAAAAGGGTAGAGAGTTTTATAAAATCCAATTCTCATTTATCTCTTATTCAAATGATAATTTGCAATCACTGTGTGTGTGAGAGAAAGAGAGTCATATGTAACTTTTGCATCAGGTGAGAATCTCATTTCTATTCATATTGTGTTTATTTCTTAGTTGGGATGATTTTCGTAATCACAACAAGGTAAAGGAAATCTCCCATTTTCTTCTCCAAGATCCTCCAAATCTTGATCTAAAGATACATTGGCAAAATGAACCTAACCGGGTTAGACTCTTCTTCAATTTTCAAATAATTGAAGGATCCTTTAATACTGTTTTGAATGACAAAGATTTAACCACGAGAACAACTCAATTTATTTCATCTTTTTAGAATTGGAAAATACTTTCTTAGACCATTTTCAATGAAAATTTAAACTCTTACTCAAATTTGAGTAAAAAAAAAGATAAAAAATTTGATTTTGTATAGATTTTTTCAATGGAGAAACTCAAATTTAAAAGAAAAGAAACCAAAATTTAAATGAGGATAAACTCAAATTTAAAAGAGAGTAAAATATAATCATTGAACCTTTAAACGATGATGAAATTTCACCATTAAAGATTTGAGTATAGATTTGGGTTTAAAAAAGGGTTTTCTTTTATTTTGTATGTGTATGAGTCTAGCATCGGAGAAACGCTTTAGACTGATTCTTCAAGATCAACTTTGAATTCCTATGAGAATTTAAGCATTTATCGTTGAAGATCTTGACCGTCCATCAAACCTATAACTCAAAGGATCCAAGGAGGCAAATTTTCATATTTTCTTAAAAAGAAACGACAACCAAATAAATTTTTTTACTAAAAAAAATATTATTTTTAATTTTTAATTTTATTTAAAAATAAAAAACTGACAACGTCGTCAATGGCACCATAGGCCTTTCATGAAAAGCTATCAGAGAGAGCAGGTCTAGGTTGCTTACTACATTGCCTTGCACAATCTCTCTCCTTATGTTTTTCATGCCTGAAGGAGGACGTTGCAAGTATATCCCACACGTTAAATGCCCTTTCACTTGCAGAGCCTAGTCCAATAAGTTAATTGTCTTGGCCCTGATTGCAATTAGGCCCGAAAGGGATCCAATTTGAATTCGATTCAAATATGAAGAAGAATCATTGGATACCGAATTAATGTTTATAATAGATTATTCAAATTTAAATTCATTTTTTTCGTATTTTTGGATTTAGATTTATATATATATTAGTTTTCAATCCGTTTATCTGATCCAAATAATATAAGAATTTATGAAGGATTAATAGTATTTTTTATCTACCAATTAATACACACGTGCGATGCACGTGTACTATTTTAGGTTATAATTTTTTTGAATTATTTTTACAATAAAATATTACTTGATCAATTTATAGGTAAATGACCATGCTGGTACTTCTAAGAATGTTGACAAAAAAAAAGACTTATAAGAATGCAATGCTCATGTGTTCCTTGCTCAATCCCTGCATCCACTACATGGATGCAATGCTATTGTGTCGCGAGCAAGAAACACATAAGTTATTATAAGAATGCAATGTTTAGTTTTTAAAAGTCATTTAGGCTTCGTGGAGCGTGGAGAAAATCATGACAGTTGTCAATTCTGTTTTTTTATCTGTCATTTTTACTCAATGATGAGGTCAAGCCAATTTAAACTTCTAGAGCTTTAAAATTCTTTTACTTTCTTTTGTTAAAATACGTAGGATTAAAATGTCTATAATTAATGAAATTATTGTGGTCCATTTCTTATCAACAAATCAAAATTATGTTGAATCATATTAAGCAGAGTAGAAACTCATTTCAAATGTCTGATCACGCTCACATGAGCCAAAGCTTTTATGGTCACAGGCCTCATAATGATAATGAGATTGCTCATCACAAAACCATAATGAGAAATTGAATATAAAAAATAATATTGTAATAATTGATTAGGATTATTGGCAGATGCTTAAGAAAAGATTACTTACAAGCCTCGGCCATCAGATTGGCTATTAAACTTGCTATCAAACAACCTTTTAAATAGAATTTCTAGAGAAGACCATGAGTTTGAAACCAGAAAGGCTTCCGTTGGGTTAAGTTTCCTTAACACAAATTAATTTAATGTCAAAAGAAGATGAAAGATTGTCAATGATATTAGTTGCATTATATCTTTATTAAAAGTATTGATAATCACAAACTTACACATATGCTTTTATAGAGTAGTTTGAGGGTAAATTTGAAGATTAGAATTTTTTTAGTTAAATTGAGTCCCTAACCTTTATTGGCAAAAGGGATATTGGTGTCTTTAAAATATTTAATACGGATATTTTTGGCATTTAAAAGTTTTTCATATATCTACACATTTTAGAATAGTATTGATAATTTCATCCAAAATACTCAACAAGTAATCCCTAATAATATTTTTTGAATATTCTTTAGTATAACATAAATTCAAATGGATGTCATTTTCTATGAGCCCATCCATCACACGATAAATATTTACATAACCTAAACAACACAATAATATATTCAGACCTCTATATTAAATTACTTAGAGGAGTAATTATCATGATTTCAGATCACGTTGAAACAATCACCAATGATAAACACAATAGAGAAAAGGAAAGTCATCAACAGCAAGATCACCCATTAATAAAATCATCTGCAAGAAAAAAAGTGGGTAACACAAATATGCCCATTATTTTTGAATATACGCAAACAAAATGACAAATATAACAAACCAACCAAACACAATCTAATTATCAGTTAACAATCCATGACGTAGATAGTTCAATGGCCATCCATTGAAATAACAGTCCAATGCTTATTCATGACAAAGACAAGCTTAGGACTATTAGAATGAGAAAAATCAGTGTACTCCATGGCAACAACCAACCAGTAAATTAGGTCAATGATCGTCTAATACCCAATGC